TTCTGTTATATATATATATATATATATATATGGATGGAGTGTTTTTTGATATTAACAATTCCGGTAAAAATTATAGCTTCGATACAACTATAATTTTTAGCTGACTTTTCTTTCATTATAGGATAGAAATTTTGCAGCGTGTTTTAAACCATAATCTTATTTAAATTTACTGCAACCTAAAAAAGCTTTTAGGTCAAATCATGTTATCGTGCCTCTTAAACTTGATCACACACTATCATTATTCAACTTGAATGGGTACATGTTTCAGTTTAATACTTTGCAGCATATTCGCACCGTATTGTGGAACCAATATTCTTGAGAGTGTAGTATCGTAAGGATTAGGTTGAATATAGAGTTCAATAGAGAGAAGTTTAATATAGAGTGCCGGGAAAGGCTGCACTGCTCTAAAAGCGTTAACTATCGGGTTGCTTGGAAAGCAATTTCGTTTTTTCCCAAGAATTACTATTTTTTTATAGTAAACTTCATGGTTAAGCCGCATAATCATAATATATTTTGAAAGCTATATATATGTAACATAAAAAGCTTCAATTAATCTTTTTATGTTAGCTCTTTTCCGTAAATCTTTAATTTTATTATTCTATTTGAAACACTTTCTTGCACTTTTAAATTCACATCCTGTCCTTAAATCTAGTTTTGGCTCAACTATTAGATACTATATTAAAAGCAAGATATTTTTCCCTTTGCTCTCTGTGGGAATCGCTCGACCTATTTGATAAACCAATTACATTTACTAAGATTTCTCTCTTTTCCTAAATCGAAACATTTTACGGATTTACTTTGCAAGATTTTCCTTAACATATAATCGAGAAGGACAACTTTTAGTGTTCACTTTTATGACTGCTCTCTGTCTAATAATTAATAAATAAATTTTGTACCCTCCTTTCCTGCCTAAGATCTGCTTTAATCATTCCACTCGACAACGACGTCATATATATGTATAATAAAACTCCTCTTCTTTTACAATTGCAAACTGATTACAGAACTTAATCCATAACTTTTAAAGTGTTTCTACAGTCATTATTTAGGTTAAATCATTAAAAATTAAATATTTGATTAGTCTACACAAAATGTGATATCCAAAATGTCATCACAGTATCTTTCTTAGAGTTTGTGATATTAAGGGTAGACTGCATTCTTTATTTATACGGTGTCCCCACTGCTTAATGTGATTGTAATGTGATTGCAAGTGTAATTTATACCAGAATTCCAATAAACGGCTAATTCTACTAACAGAATATCTTTTATAAAGAAGAAATGGATAGTATTTCCACAGTATTGCACAGCACAAACAATATAAATATACAATGAGATCAATTAAAGCAAAGTAATAGAGCTTTTTTTTCTTTTTTTCAATGAGAAATTATAAGTGATATTAATGTAACCCTGTGCATGGCTTTCCGCATTCTAAGAAATCCCAAACCTCTTTTTTCTATTTTGCACAAGTACAGTTGAATCTACTTCAACAATCATTCCAAAATAACGATAGCTGCAAGAGAATTGTCCTATATCACTTTGCAAAGTATTTACATTATACCTAACCTCTAAAAAGCAAACTCTGATAAATGGTCAAGCAAAACAACGAGAATAAAGGGAAAATAAAGGAACAGAAATAAACAGGCTATAGTTTCAGTTATATAAATAAGAATCCACAGAGGAATGTTCTTGTTTATAGAACCAAAACTATATTATATCCATTTTTGTATTCGTATTATCAATACTTAGCACAAAATAAACCCTCTCCTCATTTGAAAATATCAGCCTATTAGCTATTATAAATAATTTTAACTTTTGGTATTTAAAAGCGTAATTTGATACTTGATTCTTTTGAGGGATTAAAATTTTTTTTGAATAAAAACTACTTCAGAGGTAATCAAAATAAGTCTAAATAACTAAAGACTGTTTAATCGAGTTACGTTAGATAAAATATTTTTACACAGTTCACAATTTTAATACATTAACAGAATAGGACATTTTAATACATCTAGAGTCTAAGGGTAATTTTTGCAAATTCACTTAACTATTACTTTACACTTTCCTAATAGGTTTTCCAATGCAAATGCGAATAAAATAGATTAAACTATAAATCATAAAACATAGCAAAATTTACCTCATTCATTTTAACTTTCAGAATGTTTTTCACACAATCTAAGCAGCTTTTAGTTTCTTCAGCCTTAATTGTAAGAAAGAGACAAAAAAAGAATTTTATAAAACTCTATTAAATAACAAACTAAAAAAAAACAAAGTTTAAAACCACAAATATGTTACATTAAAATAGCATAAAGATTTCCATTCTTTCTGAAAGTATAACCAAGACTAGCTTATACAGAAGAAAAAATTTAGTAAAACTACTTCATTTTTAGCCTTTTTTAGTGGCAAACCAAATAGCTAAGATTACCTTACATTATTAACAGTTACATAGCCTCCAACTATTATAAAATTTCCGAAGTTTCAGAAAATATTTTTCTTGGTGGTAGCAAAGGTAAAGTAATAACATTTAAATAAATTAGAATTAAAATAATTTTTCTTACCACTATGTATAATTAAATTTAAACATATGTATTAAAGGTCAGATAAATTACAGACCATGCACTGATAAAGTTTTTACTAAATTTCAATTTACTATTAAATTTCTGCTTTAGATTTCCCACTCTACCAGTCAGAAATATCTTCCACACAAACCTCAAATGTTGCAGGGAATGCAGTTATAACATCTAGTCATGACTAAAAATTTCTTTAAAAGTAACTGTAGTTGCATATAATTTACTTATCTTAAAAATAAGATAAGAAAATAAGACCATTAAATAAGTTAAGAAAATAAAATATTTACTACCTATCTTTTTTATTTCTGAATCAGCAGCAGCTATTAATACCTTAGAAACTTGTATCCAAAAGCCATACAATTTGAAGTTAAAAAGCAAAGGGCAATTAGCAGGAGGGGGGGGGCACTTGCTTAGTGAAAATGGAGAACATAATAAAGAAGAATAAATGACAAAGAATCATTAACTTATGGACTGAAAGTGCTCCTTTTTATGATTTACTTAAAGTGATTAAAGTGATATATCTATATAGATATATCTATCTCATATAAATTAGCAAAGCTTAGGGCAAACACGTTTACAATTATTTCAAAATATACATGTATAAAATGCAATAATTGCAATTCTTTATAAATGGTAAAGCGTTAAGGTTATAGCCTAGTTTAACTGGAATAAGTCAAGAGAAATAATTCGATAAAAAAAATTATAACCTAAAATAATAATACATAAAATATATAATCTAAAAATTTAACTCAGGAACTTCAAAAATTTTCTTTTTATCAAGTAGTTATTTTTTTAAAAAACTTAAAATACCAAAAACGTTTTTCGCGACAAAAAGAAAAACGCTTGAGTTGAAATTAATCAAAAAAAATATATATATTTTATTTTATAATGATTGGTGCCAGGAGATCAGGGAAAATTGACATTTTAAGGACCAGGGAAAATTGGCTTAAAAGCTTTTCACAAAACACATTTAAAATTTTGCAACACAAAATCCACCAATAACTATTAAGTCAACTTAATCTTAAACTGATCATTAAAATAAAAAATTGAAAATAGCAAGATTTATACTATGGAAGAAAAAAAAATCACCTTGGATGGCTTCTCTTTACTTCTGATGTTGATAAACATTTCAATGAGGCCAGGTTGCTGAGCAACACACACTGTCAAGAATTCTAAAATAGATACTTTTAATCTTATGTCTTCAAATTGAGAACTGAGACGAGCTAGGAAATGGTCCCGTATTGCTTCTGCTTCAGAACTAAAGCAGCTAAGCAAAGACATTGGAAATTCCTAAAAAATAAAATTTACACCAAAAAATTATTTTGAGGAATTGCAGCAAAATGAGGTGCATAACTCGCAGGTATCAAAGGCCTTGAAACCAAAACTTTATTGAATGAAGTTACTGAACTAGCATAAGAAATTTTTTTAACTCTTTTTCAGAAAAATTTTAAGAAAAATTAGAGATCTTAGAAATTTAGAGCTTAAAAAAAACAAAAACAATAATCTTTTAAAGGGGATAGTTAAAAACATACTAAAATTAATTCTGTTTAACCTTTTAACTGCCAAGTTATTTTAATGATTTGGGTACATAAATTGTCAATTATTTTTATTGCATAAATCAAATGTTCATCAAAGAATAAAATATGCTTAGCAGTTTAAAATTGAAATTTTGAATTACACGCATAAAGTTTTAAGGTTTTGTAGTCATTGCATATTCACTTGAAGCGGCTGCTACTCAGCGTGGTAAAGTTCACTTCTAGTGGAACATTAATTTCTAAAAAAATAAATCACCTATGCAGCATTTCAAATAACTGAATGCCATTTAGGAACAAAAAAATAATAAAATATGTCTTACACTTTGAACATAAGCCTCTATCCTTTAAAACTTCCAAAAAAAGTGCTTCAATCTGTTGTTCTAAATTGTATCTAAATAAACTTTTTAGAAGATAGATTCGGATTTGACAAAGAAATGAAGCCGCAATAAACTTCTCCTGGTATATATTTTAGTATAACAATACGATGCACTAAAAAAAAAATTACCCTGAGTCATACTTGGGTGTGACATTTTGAAACACCAGTTTTGTGCCCAAGATAATTTCAGGCATGACAGTTAAAAGGTTAAAGATGACGAAGTGTAGAAAAAGTGCTAAAGCTTACCTTAGCAAATCTTTTCAACAGTTGAACTGCCAGAGTAGCCAGACGTGGATTATAACGTTGAAAAACATAGTGTGCCACCATTAGAACAACTTGAGGTTGGTTTGTGTGACCTGGAGTGGAGAACAGAACAGACACCAGTGGAGAAACTTCAGTCTTAGAATTAAAAGAACTTTTATTTCGCATCTGCAGAAGACGATTTAATACTGACAAAGAGAGACGAATCATTGTTGCAATTTGATCTCCAGAATTGCTGAAAGAAAATCCTTCTTAATTACTATACATGTTGCATAACTTATTAAAAACACTTTTTATAATTAATTTAGGCATAATAAGAACCCATACATAAAAAAATGGCATAATTGTTGTATACTTAAACTCGCAACGATGTAATGCACATCGCATAAGTTACATAGTCGGAAGACACAGTATCAGGTATTGCAGTATTATCCTTAAATGTATTGGAATATGGTGATTACTTTATTCGGGAGCACAAACCTGACAACACTGGAAAATAAATTAACGGAGATTTTACTAGCGAAATTTTTTAGGCTGTGAGTAAAGTTGTAATACATCATGCATAACCAAATAAGTCAAAGAGAGAAATAAAAAATTGGAAATAATATAAGCACTTACATTTAAAGTAAAAAATATGCATATAAATCTTAATCTAAAGAAAATTTCTTTAAACTATTATGCATAAGTACTTAAACTATTAACACTCAACATACAGCAGCACTGGCAATAGCACTATCTGTTGAGGGAGAAGAGAAGTATTTTCGCCATCAGGGGATATTTTATCATCCAAATTTCATTTTTTAAATTTCAACAACAAATACAGAGAAATTTGAGAACATACGGGTAAACAGGGGAGTCGTAAAGTTGAGGAGTCTTCGTTAAAAAACAGGAGACATGGCAGGTATGGGAGCAACACTCTTTATTTTGGGCGACAATAAGGATTATAAGCCTATTGTAAGTTTAAATATACAATATATTTATTTTGACAAGACTAAATTTTAGAGAATTAAGTGGATAAAAGTATTAAATGACAGTCTTTAGTTTTTTGGTATTTATCCATTTCAGAGAGCAAAAAAAGACAAACTATTATTAATGCAGAGGATGCATAATTAGGATAATTGATTTTAGGGGAACTGGTACCTTACATATTAATATTTGTACAGTTGTAATAAGTTTTCTGTAGATCCTAAAACAGGCAAATTTTGTTTATAAAAAAACTATGTTTCATAACCATAACTAATAAATTAATTATTCTTTTAATGAATTCTTTTACAAATTTTGTCAAACAAAAATTTGCACAACTTCTCTCTAATTTTATTTATTCTTTATAACTAAATTTTTAGTTACAACTCCAACTGAAGAAAAAAAAACCATTTCCTTCAGAAAAAATAAAATCAGAAAATAGACTCTTCGGGGAAATCGACGCCCAAACACAGGATTTTGTAACGTAATAGGCTATTAGTAGGGTAAATAAGAATTAAGATGATTAAAATACAAACCTATTTTGCTTTAAAATTGTTTGTTGAATCACTTCTTCTCCTGTACAGACAATTTTGAGAAGAGTTTGGCCTGCTTCTAGATTAAGAAGAGCAAATATGGCTAAATCTCTCGATTTTTCACTAAAAAGAAAAAATGCGTTCAAAATTATAGCATGAAATAATACAAATTAAATGTAGAAAGTTATAAAAACAAAAACTTACATTTCTTTAGATCTCTTGTCATCAACAGAAAGCAAATTATGTAGTAGATTCAGGCACTTTTGCCCTGTAAAAATTACTTATTAGAATTTCATGCATAGATACAGCAACTTCAGATATTTTATTTTTATTTCCAACAGTTATAAATAATTGTTGGAAATATGCAACATTAAATAAAAAACATTAAGAAAAACATGAAATAAAAATAAATATGCAACAGTACAATAAATTAGAAATGAAAATAGAAAATACCTATCAACTCAAAAATAAATAAATAAAAACTTATGAAACTATTATACACTGAAAGAAAACATTTAAATTATTTAGATAGTTATTTTTATTTTTTTTACTATATGTGTTCATTGACAGTCCGACAAACTGTTAAGCTTTATATATAGTAAATCATGATTAAATAGAAAAAAATAGTAAAGGAACAAAATAAAATAACCTAAAAATATTAAGAAAAAAACAGGCATTTAACATAACTTCCCTTATTACTTTATCTCTGGAAAATTTCATTTCAATTTTTAATATTTACACACTAAGATTCTGATTATAAGAGCAACAGAAATTCTGACAAAAGTTGGAAAAACATCATGCCTGCAAATAAAAACATAATGCTTCATCTTAAAAAATAAACAGTTTGCAGAAACGAAAATAGCCATAACAGTTTAGGGACTAGTTAATTCTTTTTTTTTTCTTCCTTCAACGAAAATGGTCACCTAAATCAGAGATTTCTTAATTACTGCCTCTGTAATTATGTTATTTTTTATAAGATAAAACAATGAAATATGTTTTTGCATAAACAACATTTGCTTTATTGAATTTGTTTTACTGACACAGAAATATATACAGTAAGTAATTACGAAATTCAAATTAGTGCAATTTTATAGTGCATATACTACTTAATTCTATAATGGTTTATAATATTTATAAAATTATGCACAAAATTACCATTACATTAAAGAAAATAAAGTAACGCTTAGATAGAGGTACAAAATAAAAGAATAATAGTGGAAATAAACAATATAAGTAATGGAAACTATTCTATTATTTATTTAAAATTGTGGAAAAATCTGGTAATTCCTGACAATTTAAAACTGTAAAAAGGTGATGCAAATCATTTACCCATAAGTATTCTTTGCTGAGAGTTACTAAAATACCATTTATGGAAAGACGAAAAAATTTCTCTTAGTATATACGTAATACAGGCAATGAATGTTTCATCTTCTTTTGCTAGAGTCTGCAAATAAAAGAATGTATAAACATATTTAAAGCTTACAGAAACATATTAAATCAAATAAATTAAATTAATTATGAAAGAAGCATGATAAATATTTAATGATTAATAATTAGTAAATATATAACAAAAAATACTCATAAAGTTTCAACAATTTCAAATTAAAAAACTAATTGTTATTTAAAATTTACACAACTATATAAATATTATATAAATTGTAACAAAGTTGATACAAATAGTAAATCTATCTCCTTAATCTTGTAACTTTGGAGTGATTCTTTTTCGAGAGCCCTTTTCATTTTTATTTTAGTGTGCTTCAATATTCTATAAATGTTGAGAAATAGATAATTTATCTTTTTAATCTCAATGTTCTGAGTGTTGGTGGCTCAGGGGATAGAGCGCTTGCCCCCCAATTGAGGTGAACTCGGTTTCAATACTAGTGATGGTTGATCAATATGAATTCCGCACTTAGCTTGCACCGACCACAGCGCTGATATAAAATATCCTCAGTGGTAGATAGATCATTAGTTAGAGTCCCCTTGCAGCCAGGCTAACTGTGGGAAGTTTTCGTGTTTTTCCTCTCCATGTAACGCAAAAAATGTTTCATCAAAAAGTTCTCCATGAAGCAAGTTTCACACAATACTTGATCTGGAAGTTCTTTTGGCTTCTGGATAGGGTTCAAAATTACAAGGCTACGGAGTTGAACATATTGTAAGGCATTTTTCAAAATATGATAAACATTATAAGGTTCATTTCCAAAATGAAAAATTCTAAGAAAGGTAGAAATAACAGTGCTTATACTGATAATTTGGTAATAATTGCATGGAGAAAAAAAGCATTGTTGGAAGCAGGTACCACTCTTAAGAATTCTTCAGAAAAAATGCATCGAGCTGTTAACGATGACAAAACCAAAACATGCCAATTATTAAAACATCTGAAAATTAAAAATTTTTAGAAACCGGAAATTCCAAATTCGAACTTGTTGACAATTTCACTGATCTCGGTTCAAACATTAATGCCTTAAACGACAGAAATAAAAAGACGCATTATAGCAGCTAATCAATGCCTTCATGGCTTAAGAACATTTCTTAAGTCAAAATTAATTGAAAGACGAACAAAAATAATGTTATATAAAACAATCATTAGACCTGTCTTAACTAACTTTAACTAAATCACAAGCAGACCTGCCTTGCTGTTTTAGAGAAAAAAATTTTGGTGCTATAAATATGGATGGCTTATGGAGAGGATATAATTTTGAATTATATAAGCTATTCAAGGAAGTTGATGTCAACAAATACATAGAAATAAGTAACTTAAAGCTTGCGGATAACACCTGTCGAATGGACTCTTCTTCCTTGACATTTAAGATCTTTAATTAAAAACCGATGGGAACTAGAGTTAGAGGTAGGCCTAAGATCAGATTCTTGACTGTTTGGAAGAGGATTTTAAAATCTTAAGAATACTAACAGGAAAACAAGGCTCGGGCACACAAAGGGCTGTCATGCCAATAGAAGAAATAAAGTAATTTTCAAAATATTATAAAATAATATTTTTAAATAAATAAATATACATGGGGTGCATGAAAAAAGAGGCAATCAAGTGGCAGATTTTTTAATCACCATTTGTTGCAGTAAGTTGCTCTGTCACGGTCAATTTTCTTCAAACGGTCTTTCAAAACGGTCAATTTTGGTCTATATTTCGTAAAATACTTTTTCTACCATTTCTAAAAACATTATTTTAACGCTGTTTATAGAACTTCATATAAAAGTACATATACACATTTCATACATATAAAAGTTAAACATAAGACTAAATGCTAAATAAATGTCTGTTTTTGGTACATACAAATATCAACATAATAAATAAATTTTGTTTACCTGAGAAACATTTGAAATGAGATTCAAAAATGAGAGACAGACAGAATATTCTCCAGAAACACATTCCTTAGAAGCAATAAATTGACCAAGAATGCTGACATTCATACAAGAACTATTGGTAGAGAAAAAATCAATAATTTTAATAAATATAGTACAGTAAGAGTCCATTATAACAGTAATTTCTATTAGCAGATGAATTGTCCTTTTAGCAAACTTGCTGTTTTAAGAACACAATATAATGTTAAAACAGCACTATAAAAATTCACTCAAGTGTAATAGCATGCAAAAGCTTTTGACTTCCTTGATAATAATAAATGTTAATTTCAATAGTAAGCTGTAAAACAGAATAAATGGTTAAGGGGAAAAAAAAGCACATTAATTTGAATTATGCAGTACATTTCTAAGAATAGCAACAAATTGTTATTTTTCGTAGAACTAAAGATAATTTGGTTGGTGGTTGCCCACACATTTGCTTTACAAACACTAAATGTTAAGAATGTAAAATACAGTGCACTCTCGATTATCCGGGTTAATCATCAGGACGGGTCACACGGATAATCCGAAAACTCCTTTTTATTAAAGAAAAAATGAACATCAGTACAAAAAATATAAAAATTACTTACATTTGCATGCTGTATAACATCAAACTAGGAATTTAACATTTACTGCTTAGAAAAATGTGTAATGCGTCTTTGCTTCTGCTGTTTGTTTATCTCTTGCCGTATATTGACACATATTTTACGTACCGCAGTAATGTCACCGTAATCAAATCCTCGTTCTTCCATATAATCAATCTAATAAAGTTTCCACAGATTGTAGAGCAGCAAAGTCAGGAATTGTATTTCCCTCATTTATTACATCTTCTGCATCATCACTATTTGATTTAACAACACAGTTAGTAACAATTTACTCATCTGTTAAATACTGGAAGTCAAGCTCACATACATCACTTTGAAACGAATTTTCCTCATCAAGAAACCTTCGATTTCTTTTCCTTGTTCAAAAATACTGTTATCGTATTCTTCAATATCTGAAGAAGATTGTTCATCAAGCGATCTTTCTCCACGATCGTGATAACGATTTTACCTTTGACCATGATATTCCATATACTGCATCCAATAATGAATATTGATTTCAAAAATTTGGTAGTGTTATAACTTCATGAATCACTATTGCAGCGATTATTATCAATAAAAACATTAGATTTATATTCTGTTAATAAATGGCGAGACTGATTTGACAAGATATATTTTACATGCATCATAATCTTGAAAATGTTTCTCTTTAAAAAAATATTTTATGACTCCGAAAGGAGCACGGATAAACCGCAAACCGGATAATCCGCGCACGGATAATCGAGAGTGTACTGTAGTTAAATGATACACATTTTTTTCTTTGATACATTGATAACAAAGATAAAATTTTTTTAAACTATTAACTCACTTACCCAATCAATTCTAATGTGTTTTTGGGTGTATGAGACAAAAAAGGAAGAAGGCGAATCTGAGAAAGCTGTTGCCATACATCTGATATTTCATCTTTTGATAATGAGGCAGCTATATTTATGCAAATTGATATAAATTCCAGAGGTGTAAATGGAGTGTTTATGCATCTATAAAGAAAGAAATTTTACTATTAAAAAAATAAGTAAAAAAATATATATAAATAAAAAAATATATAAATAAGTGAAATTAAAAAAATTACAGAAAAAATCCTTTAATCTCTGACTCAAAATTTTACATCTAGAATAGCAATATCTATTTAAACAATGATTTCTATTTAATTTTAGGAATAAAATTTTGAGAAAATTTCAGCTTTTCAAGAAAATAAAAACGTAAATAAATAAAATAAAAAATATAATTATAATCAACAATATTCCAGATCAAAGGTGTTCTACATGGCAATTTTCATTCACTTTGGTTTTTATTTCATAAACCTTGGTTTTTATAAAAATTGTTTGCTAAAATTCAAATGCCTTAGTGATGGATTTGTTTTTTTAAAATGTATTTTGACTCTTACACTAATTCAAAAATTGTATTTAATTTGTTAAACAACACACACACACACACAAAGGAACACTAAGAATATTTTTTGATCTAGTGAACTGATCTTTACTAGATAAGATTTAATCATAAGGGTTTAAAGAATTAAAGGCATGATTGGATTTTCACATACTAAGACTCAATCTATGATTTTAGGTGGTGACCTCAAGTATGCAAATTAGTTAGTGCAGACTATGTTTTAAAATCATACACAAAAGCATATTTTCTCTCAATAAACATGCCCTTCTTTAAACAGACTTTGATTCTTGACCCTCCAAATATGGACGGCAGCCGCTATCTAGGAAATAATGTTAGTCTGAAAAGCCTAAATCTTTCAAAGTTACTCACACTTTCTGCGTATTTCACCATACCTTGAGAACTTTTTAAGCAAACTGAAAATTTTTCGTCTCAATTAATATATTCATGATTATTTATATTATTTATTGATAGTAAATTTTTTTGCCTCATACTATAGGATGCAATTTAATGTGGCAAAATACAAAATTTGAATGAAATCAGTCAAATAGTTCTTGAGAATTCAATTTTTTAAACATTAAAATTTGTCACTTATGTATAACTTTCAAAAAAAAAAAAAAATTAAAATAGAATAAATAAGAGCATTTTTCCTTAAGCTATGCTAATTTGTTAGAGATAAATAAAGGAAACATCCAAATTAGTTATGATTTTAACTCATAGTCTATCTAAAATTAGCTAATCTATATCCTGGTTTAAGTTTAACAATTTAGGATTTAAACAAACAGGAATTATATTGTTATTAAAGCTCACCTCTGTAAAAATGAAAACAGAATATTTATGAGATGTGTAAAATTGTAGCTCAGCTGAATGTCCATTTTAAGGATGTTGTCCACAAGTTTTGCAACAGCTGTCATTTTCATGATACTTTCTGGTGACACTGAAAATTAAAACTTATTGTGAGAATAATATAAGAAAAAATCATATTTGCATGATAGTCGCTAAAATAAATCATCACCTGAACTGAATGATATTTCTTGTAACAGTGTGAATATCTCTCTTAAACATATCTGCCAACCATTCAGAAGAACTTTCCACTGAATAACTGAACAACCTTCCTTACCTATCATAAACATAAAAAATTAATCTTCAAAAGTAATAACAAAAAGAATAATAAAGAAAGGCTGTGATCAATCTACATATTAACAACCAATATACAGTCGATGCTCGAAATAATGACCTTTGAGGTTCAAACAAAACGTGACGTAATAACGCGAATACGACAAAATTGGACAGATTCTGTCATTTTGGAAATATCTCAAAATTTGTTAAAAAAATGAACGTTGTATATATAAACAAAATTTATGTTCCAATATATAAACAAAATTTTTAGATACAGGATTTTCAAACTTTGATATCTCAAAAACCTTGCTATGTCAAAAAAATATTTCCTCCCTTGGCATTATATATCCACCTAAAGTTGATTTGAATTCCTATGTCAAAGTTTTTTTAATTATTTTTTTTTATCAAAACCTTATGTCAAATTTTTTTTGGAAAAAATCTGAATGTAAAATTATTGTACACCAATTCTTTTCTATTTAATGCATAAATCTTTTTGTCTTACTTTTAAAAATAAAATGATTTTTGTTGTATTTAGACTTATGGCCAAATGTCATTACATTCCATGTCATTATTGTTATGTTTCAAGACTCAATATTTAAGAGTAATATTTAAAAATATATTTTACACTTTTTAGAACATATTTAGTTCTGAACTTGTTATCTTGAAAACTCACATCTCAAATTTTTATTTAGCGTTCTTTCAACTTTGAGAAATCAAGAGTATACTGTATATTGGAAAAACAAATATATATAGTGAGAAGACATATTGTGAGTGCACATAAATAACTCATAGCTAAAAAAATACTTGACTAATTATGTTTAAAAATGTTATGTAATTAAGAGAAAAATTGGTAATAACGCAACTTTGGTTTTCTATATTAATGTATACAAGAATGCATCCTTTAAAATAATATTTCATAAGTGAAAAATACATTTAAAATAATATACTGCTTCGTCACTGCCGTTTTTGATAAGAAAAAAAAAACACGTCTAGACAACTGTAAAAAACATGTCTAGACAACTGTAAAAAACATGTCTAGACAACTGCAAAAACCACATATTTTAACTAGTAGAGAAACCACACAAGTGGACTGAGATTTTACAAAAAAGAGAAAATATGATTTTAAAACGTGAAAAGTATGATCGACAAATTCGTCAAACCTTTGAAAAGAAAGTTACATCGATTCAAAATGGCTATAAGTTAAGACAACCTAGAATTTAGGGGGGGTCATTTTACTCCTTCATTCGAGGTGTTCTACATTTATTAAACGATAATGTTACCATGAATGACTGAAACCAAGAGAATGTTGATTTTTACCGGAGAATGTCAACAATCACATCATCTAGGTGAATGTCTAAAATATTTGTTATATCTGATTTGATATCAATTTATTTATTGATATTATTATATTTATTTGATATTTCATCATCTGCTCAGAATAGATTAGGATAAGCGTCAGTGTTCTAAGTATCGGTTAAATGCAAACTAGACAGTGGGACTTGACCTAAAAAAACACTGATGTACATCATACTGGGCAGTGGCACTTATCTAGACTAAGTACATAGTTCAGACATTTACCAAAGCCACCATGCGATTGAAAACAACCACCAGTATTAGTCATTCACAGTAGCAATAACATCAAAAGAAATAATGGTTCAAATAACATTTTTGAAACTTTTTCTAAATCAGATGATGTAATTTCAGTGGATATTTTGGAATAACGGTTTAGTGTGGACGTTCTAATGGACAGTAAAACAACATTGCTGTCAATGGAACAGCAAATGAAACTTCGGTTGCTAAAATGGAAAGGTGGCTCTGATAGGAGGATATATCAAAAAGCATAGTTTGTGTTAACAAGTGAAATTAAGTACAATTTGTAGCAAAAGAACAAAAAAATAATTTTTTTAGAATCAACTGCTTCAGTACTCCAGTGTTATAAGAGCATCCAAAAAACTTGATTGATACAGATTAAAACATTACCAAATTCTTGAAAAATCAACTAATGTGTTAGTGTGTATAATATATATAAAAAAGCACTCTAATTATTGATATGCATTAGACATGAAAGAATAGCATGAATGAAAAGCAATGCAATTGAAATAGTGGAAGATAATACAATTGAGAACAGTTATTAAAATAAACTAATATAAATTAAAAGAATAAAATAGGACAATAATATTTAACAAAAATATCCAAGAATAATTAGATGGAAAAATTTTTTTTGAAAAAGTGCAAAAACAAAATGTATTAGAAAAATTACCCTTATCTTTGGTAACCAGGCCATAAGTTCCTTTTGGTATTACAAGATTGTCTAAAAAATAGAGAACAAAAAAGAAAGAAATACATTTTATGAAAAAATTTCACTAGTTCATGGATTTTATAGTGATAAAAACAGTCTTGATATAATTTACAAACAAAAAACTTTTATTTTCTGGTTGAGATTTAGAACAAAATATCTTATGAACAAAATTCTATAGCAAATACTGATATTTATCCTTTCAGTTTTCATCAGTATGAAACACTGTTAACTACCAAACATTGATTGAATATGCTTGCTGATTTTAAATACTTCTCATTCCTTTTGTCATGATAAAATGTAAAAATAAAGAGCTTGTGTGTGTTTCTCTCTTACAACTTCAAAAGCACTTGTGTTACCCTCCTGAATTTTGGTGAGTGGGTGTAAGGGGATATCCCACTCTTAGATCTTAAAATTTATTTAAAAATTTCAGTAAGTTCAGATGGGAGGAACATTTTAAAAATTAATTTTTCAAACAGGTTTTACAAAAGCCATTGTTATTAAAACTTTAGATGATTGTTTTTTTTCTTTCAAATATGAAAATAATAATTTGTTTTTTTAGCTCATAGTTCAATCAAATCAAATGAGTCTTAATAGTCAGACAACAGGTAGACAATATCTAGAATACAGTGAAACCTCCAAGAAAGACCACCTCTATTTATGACAAAGTTTGGGAGGCACAGAATTTTATCCATAGACTTTGTGTTGAAGAAAAACTTTAGGAGAGACCATTAAAACCTTTCCTCGCAACCAGGCAAACATCTGCATCAAATATAAAAAAAGTGGGATAAGGAAACACACAAAAAAAAATATGAAAACAAAATTTAACAAAACAAATAAGTAGATCAAAATAGATTCAAATTTGTGTAAGGCTCTTACTTGGAGAGCTTTTTAACGATACAAGCTCCTGTTGCAGCCAGAGTGCACAAAACATGATGCTATCGATGATTTACTTTTAGAATTGAAAGTTAAATTTTAAAAAAGAAGAAGTTATTTAGAAGTTATCAGTTGAGGAAAATTATGTAACTTTGATAAGAATTTTGAAGTCAATAAAGGTGACCACTAAGAATGACCCACCTCCATCGACAACCATTTTACTGTGGAACAGAGAGTGGTCGTGTCCTAGAGGCTTCACAGTACTATAATATAAATTAAAACACTCTAAACCATACTAACTATCTCTATAGAGCACTCGATTACTGGTTAGTTGTAAAACATTTTGTTCTTGCGTTACAGCAATATCTCGTCCATCTACATTCTCTAAATACTCAGCATAAACAGGAATGCATTTCAGAAGTTCAACCACCTGACATAAGAAACAAAATGGAAAAATCTGATATTTGAAAGATATTTTGTAAATATTAAAAGTTTCATGCAAATAGTTTTCTTTTGAATGTTTTAAAATTGATTTTAAGAACACTTATTTTTAAGACTTCAGTCAAATCCACAACTTCTTATTACACAAATAAATTAAATTGCCTTCCTTATTTTTAAAGACAAGAAAGAACAGGTAAATATAGAAACTACAGTAAAGATTTTAATATTCTAAACGTGCATGAGTCGACAAATTCCAAACAATTTGACAAATTACAGATATTTAAGCAGTATAAAGCTTAATTTCTAATATTACCCTATTAATAGGGAAAACAATTGACACACTTTAATAAAAATTATAGAAATAGACGTTTATCAAAAAATATAATACAAGTAAAACTATAATAGCTGTCTTAAAAATTATTAAAAAAAAATATATCGATTAAAAGAATTTGCTCTTAATAAGTTTGAGCTGAAAATTTCAGTTTTAAAATTAAACTGTAGTAAATTGCAAAAATGACACATTACAATATCAAAACGTTAAAGAAAAACAGCAGTTTTTACACAGTGACAGCTTTTCAGTAAATACTCAAACTATGTGCTTCAAAAATGTTGTTACAGACATCGTATAAAGTGTTTATTTTAATATTTAAACAAGACTATATCTTATATCATTTCAATTAGATATATTGTATTACTCTAAAATACTAAATGTATTGAAACAAAAATGAAGCAAATAGATGTAAAAACACTTTTTATTTTTAGAAGTAATTAGATTTAAAATTTACCTTTAGGCAACTTTCTTTGTTAGCAAGACTCAAAGATGCACAAAGCTCAAGAACGGGACAAAATTCTAGAGGAAACATTTCTGCATAATAATTGAAAAGCTCTCTAATTCCACTATCCTCACCCTTTTCCATAAAAAAAAATATATATATATATATAAATGACAGAAAAAAATAAATTTAAAAAAAATTTATGAGAGAAAAAAGCATAAATTAAAGAATTTTTCATTGAAAATAACATAGTTTTTAATTATCAAGTTGCCCAGTAGCAACATATTTAACAGTAATTACTTTTTAAAACATCCAACCACATTTAATCTCATATCTCATCCCTGTAATGGTGACCTGAACATGATCAAACATATGAAGGTCTGTATGCCTGCCCAGACAATCTTACCAACTTGACCACAGTGGTCCTTTTCAACAACGTTAGTGAGATGATATCAATGCCCGGGTTCTCCCTAGATGAGAGCATGTCTTGAGTAGCTGACCAGACTCAATCGTTATTCATCACCGAAGAAAATCGGTCCCTAATCATCGTTGATCAGAGACAAAGGTTCTCCACACCATGCTAGACTGTTCTTTTTTTGGTTCACAGTCAAAGAGATGCAGATTACAGGCCACCTGCATTCATCTCTGAGCAACTGTTATCTGTGAAATGGGTGTTCCAGTTGCATTATGCAGGTCGTTACTATCACAGACCTATGTCTTTTGGCTAGATGTATCAAATATACGTCTTGAGACTATGTTGTTGCATTTTTATGGTTAGTCTGGTCATTGTGAACTGTTTCCACAAAGTAGATACCCCATTTCTCAAAACCCCGTGGCCCTTACAACAGGTACCACATTTCTCAATGATTGGCTTGCCTTGAGTCTTCCAACTATCCGGCATTGTCTTGAACCGGCATTACTAGCGATGGATAAACAAAAAAAATTCAAAAATGGACTGGCAACCTTACGCTGCAAATATTGGGCTTTTGGTTCCTCTAAGCAAACACGACACTGCTTTACAACGTCACATTCAATGGCAGAACAGAGATGCTTATGAAAAGCTTAGCTATATTCTGATACCTTTAGTATAGGTGTTACATATTTTGATCTTGTTTTTTATTTAATAAAAAAGTTCTTTCTAAATGTTTTTAACTATGCATTAAAAGCTTTTATTTAGAGGTGAAAATTTAGTTTGGTGACTGTAATGTGAAAAAACAAACTTATACACTACCTTTTTCCAAAAATCATTTGCAACTAATGGGTGTTTCAAAGTTTCTTTAGCAATAGTAAACAAAGGCTGAAAAAAATGAAAAAAGAATTATACTTACTCATTAAATAAGAAAGAGTAAATAGTTACATTAAAACATAACAATACATTATTATGTTTTAATGTACATAAAATTAACAAATTATACATACAATCATTAAACTATAAATAATACATTATAAAATACAAAAAATTAAAATAAAAAATAGCACATTACCATGCTCGTCTTAAGTATGTAATGTAAAACCCAGTCGACACTCAATATAAAGAGGGAAAAAAAAACAGTAGACTCGCACTAAAAATTCACTCAATATAACGGAACACATGTTCTGGGCAAAAACGGATGTTGTATATTTAAGATCATTATACAGTGAGTGCCATAAATACTAACTCATACTTTTTTCTCATACCAAGTTTTAATAAACCATTTTACATTAAAAAATCAGTAATTAAACAGAAAAAAATCATAATAATGCAACATTTTTTTCTATATTATTATTATATATGTAAAAATATGCTTTAAAATAATACAATCATACATAGAAAATGAATTAAAGATATGCCAATATTCGAAACTAAATAAAATTACTATCATTAATAATAAAACCATACCAATATTAATAATATATAAAATCATTTATGCACAGATAATTTTAGAAAGGGATTGCGGGACACACAACCTTGTTTGGCTTTTTCTGTTTGTTTATTTCTACATGGTTTTGTAAACTACGATATCTTTAATATGGTATTATTACAATACATAAATTTTGAATTTCTGTAATCACTGTTTTAACTGCTGGATTCACAACTATTCTATCATAAGTCCACTTCATTTTTAGAACGTTTTTTACATTGGTTTCTCATATTTTTAACTACATACGGTCCACAATGTTATTAGGACACTGGAACTTCGAATTTCAGTAACGCCTATTTAACAATGTATTCGAAAATCACTTTTTGATGCGCCTGATTCCACAGTAATTTTATGTTTTGTAATTTGTCATCCCTTTGTAACTGTTAATGTTTTGTAACATTTTTACATTTTGAAACCTTTTGGTCTTAAAAACTAAAAACCGCTAGTAAGAATAAGGTTAGCATGGGAAAAACTTCTCGAGAAGGCCAAGGCCCACTCAGGGTTGTCAAACCATTGATGACAATGAAATTTTTTCTTTTCTTTTCGCCACGTCAACTTGTTTTTCTAAATTTGAAAATTTTAAACATGATATTATTACAACATGATATGCCGAATTAGAAGGTATTACTTTTGGACTTGTTTTATTTACACTTATTCTGAAGTAAATCCTCGTCATTTACACATTTTTTGTTGGCGCTTCACACATGACTTTTCCAATTTCAATGTTTTTAATACAATGTTATATTATGACAATAGTGATTCTGCTATACTTTGGAAACTATGGGTTTTAGGACACAGGATTTCCATATTTATAGGTCCCTTCTTACAAAAAGCAGAATTAAAATATGAATTCTCAACCTCTTTATCCATCAATCAATGTACACATTCAAAATTCCTTTCTTTATTGATAGAAAAAACAAAAATTTCAAAACAAGAAGAGTTTTGGATAATTAGTCTCTTAAAAATGATTGATCAAACCCCTGTATTAAGTAAAAGCAACAATGAAATTTAAGCAATAGAAAAAAATTAAAAAAGATAGAAAAGAGATTTATAAGAAAAAGACTTTTGTTCATATGCATTTCAAGTTTGGTTATAATTTTGCTTTACATTTATAGGCACACTATTTTTTTTCAATGTCAGAGAATTAACTGTCCTAAAGGGTATATCATAACTTATTATTCAGATTCCCTCAACGATCTTTGGCATATTTGACCCATTATAATGCTTAAGCAGAATTACTGGACAAATGAATTTCGTTATTTTAGTAATAACTACTTATAACACTCTATTTGATGTAAAAAAAAACACACCTAACTAAACATGATGGTCGTCATTTTTGGGAATAAGTAAAATTGCTTGCTGCTTTGGAGCAACAAAACTGATTTTTGAGCACAGTTTTGACACCAAAGTTGTGCTTTTTGTTGCTCAATGAATATTATTACAGTTTTGGAATAGTTTGGTGCAATTTTTAGAAAAAATGGAGCAATTTAAGCTGTTCCAACCCTGTGTGTTGCAGACACCCTTTTCCTCTCTGTTCTTCGACACACTCTACTGATCCAACAATGAACTTTGCTATGACTGCATATTGTAAAAAAAGTCCATGTAAATACCTGGGGAGGGGGAGAGATTCTACTTTAAATTACTGCAGTCTATTCTTTTAAGAACTGAACTTGTTTTGCAGAATGTTGGGGGAAAATACTGCTGCTTGGTGCATCATCTTTTTTTTTTTTTTTCCTGTTTAATGAAATTCGTGAAATTTGCAGCTTATTCATTTAATGTTCAGAACAGAATTCTTTCAAAACAATAAATAAAATAGTTTAAACAAAACAAATAGTAAAAGCATAAACTAGTTTAGAACATGTTTCTATGATATTTTGATGCATAATTGAATTTCTTTCTTTTTTTTTTTAAAGATCAGTTAAAAATCATTACATTTCTTTAGTTGAATATGGTGTAAATTCCTGAAATATAAAAATTATTCTTATTTATTTTCATTTTTTTGGCCTGCTCAGTTATGTTTTGAAGTTGGTTTATTCTTGAGAAAAATATCAGGGCTCCCACTCAATTTCAGAAAAAAATTCGAGGACTTTTCCAAACATTTTAGGTAAATTTCAATGAAAATTCAGACCATATTTTATTAATGCCATGCATAATTTTTCATTAGAATACTTTTTTATTTTTAATACCAAATATTAGATTTTGTCAACAAAAAAATATCATTGAATGAGGATAAAAACATGCCAGTTTGACTAAAATGTGAAATATTTAGAAATAATCATCATAATGTTACCATTTAAAAACGAAATGTGAAATATTTACAAATAATCATAATAATGTTACCATTTAAACTCGAATTTCAATAACTGATTATTGTTACTGTCAATAAAACTAGTTATTTTCAAAATATAATATAGGAATTTTCCTTGACTTTTAGAGTTAAAATAAAATTCCCTATCAATTTTAGTTTTTCCTTGCTCTCCGTGACCTGTAGGAACTCTGAATATATTAACATTTTTCATTTTAAAAATAAATAAAAATAAGCAATAAATATAGCTATTTATAAATAATTACCGTAATTGGTCCCAAATATTGCAGTTCAAAGAGTGATAAAATTGCAGATAACAAATTGTAGACAATGTTATTAGATATCTCTGATATTATCTGAAAATAAACAAAATCAATGGGTATATACTGTTTATATGAAAATGATTGTAAAATAAATAAATGAAATAAAATGATCTACAGTAAGACCCTTTTTTAATTTGAACTGAGAAGGGAAGGGTAAAAATTAAAATTCAAAAACAGGCGCTCATTAAAAAAATAATAATAACAATAAATATAACATTAATCAGACTAAATACAATATTTTAAAAAAAATTACTTCAAAATTTTCGTAAATTTTAATGATGACCTACACACTTAGTTACCAATAATGTTTTTAAAATTATAAATTGATACATCATAAACACATAATTTACATACATTTATGTAAGTGAATAATCTCCCTATAGATTCATTTAAAATATTTCCTGATAAATGTTTTAGTTGGTCTAAATTTACATCATTAACAACAATCTTTAATATCATCAATAGCTTAAAATAAGTTATTTTTAACATTAAAACTCAAAAGGGTACATATTGAATCATTATATACTCATCTTGAAATACTTATTAATTCTTCAATCATAATTTCTAAAAATTGGGAGGGAATAGACTCCTAACAATTGAAAAAAAAAATTTTCACTGCAGATTTCGAATCCACAAAGAAAATTTTGCAAAGGTTTGAATTATAGATAAAAATTTAACATTATAAATAAGAAATTCATGGGAAAATAACATTAGTTCAAATTACCGAGTATTTTGTATTATCTGTGTACAAATTAAAAGGAGTTCACTGTATCAAGTATATTCATAATTCATTCAAAAAGCCGTAAATGTGAAATACTTACCCCAGTTGTAGAGAAAACGTTAGCCGTTAGTGCAGATGTCAAATAATCAAAAACATTCAACTGGAGGGCAAGCTTTCCCAATTTATTACAATGGGCAATCAGGTCAGGATTAGCTGATGAGTGAGCTATAAGTAACCACGCCATCAAAATGGGAGAATGAGCTTGATGGCAACCAAGACGCAAGATAGACTCAGTTAAATTCTATATTTTAAAAAAAGTAAAGGCTGTTTGCAATCGTGAAGGAAATCATCATGAAATATACAGAACTAAAGTAATTACCGTATATATCTGAATAAAAGCCCAGAATTTTTGAAAAATTAAGTGTAGGGGGTAGGCTTATAATCAGATGTGCAAAATTTCATATGAATAACCAACAAAATTACTTTTCTGTTGATTCAACATTAGTGATAAATCAAAAAATAGAGCTAAACGACACATACAAAATGTATAAGTATACAAAATAACAGTTAAAAATTAAACTTCTAGAAAGAACACTCAAATAGGAAATGCACCTCGTGTAGTTTAATCATCTGTAGCTTAAAATTTCTCCACATAAAAAAACAAATATTTAAACCAGCAGATGAAAAGGATAATTTAAACATGAAGCCTACAGAATTTAGATAGCTCTTGGTATTAGCCTATGATTTTGTTTGACTTTTTGCCAAGTTGAAAATTTGTAACCTGATGATGTACTACCGGATTGGTAAATTGAGGGGTTTGAAAAAAAGAGGGGGAGGGGGCACAAAAGTAAGAAGGGAAGAATTTAATGGAAGTTTCAAAGGGTTTCTATTTCAAAACAAAGGTACACAAATAAACTAAGATGGCTAGATAGTCAGAATGGGAAGTTGAAAGTTACTGTAAAGATAGTGCACATTATACTGTTAACATCAGGTTTCATTTGAATTTCGGGTAAATTTTCAAAGAAAAAGCATACAATTACCTTATATACAGACGGGTTGATATTCAGAAATATGAAGTAGTCATCAAAATAATTAACTGCATAGATTAATTACAAACATATAACAATCAAGGACAAAATAAATAATATGACACACATAATTATACTAAAAAACCAAAGAAAAATAATCCTTTGCATATTACCATCAAAGCCTTCTCATTTTTCAATAAATAGTGATCAGCTATCCTAAGAATTGAGAAAATAAAAAGTAATAAACTCATGTAGATATTTGTGCAATTATAAATTTAAACAAAAATAAATTTACTATCGCATTTTATTACAAAAGTCAATGAAGAGTAATTCTGAAGCATTTTCGAGAACACACTTTAAGAGAATAGAAATGATTATAATCGAGAAGAAAAATAAAACCCTAAATGATAAAATTTCTCCTAAACACAAGGTGTTCTGACATAAGTAAAAATTAAAAACAGTTAAATTGTGAGTTAAAATAATCCTTTTCAATAACATGAAAAGAAATCAAACAAAGAAGAAAGATAAAGCACTAACATAATAAAAAATATTACTTTAAATAGACCTAAAAAAAAAAAAAGTTCTACGAAACAAAAAGCAATTAAATACATTTTAATGAAGGTAAAAAAAGTTGCAGGGCAACACATTTGGTGGGAAGGGGAGAGAAACTTAAATATTGTTGTTAATACAAATAAATTATTATTTTTAATGCAGATTTTGACTCTTAGTTGAATAAGACCAAGTGGCCGTTCAGGAGGTTAAAACTAATAAATTAAAAGATATACTGGTTTTACATATAAAATGAATACAATTTGCATTGTACCTATTCCCGCTCTGACAATGCTATCTATGCAAGCAAAGAACTGTTTCAAATTGTTATATTCATGCCTAATCGAATGAGAATAAAGAAGAAAAGGAGCTAATATTTCAAAATTTGCAGAAGTTTATAAGTATAATTAAAAATCGCTCATTTTGAACATAAAAACCTTAACAACTTTGGAATTATTCGTTCTATTGACTTATGTTTAGCTACAATCAATTGGGGAAAAAAAATTACTAACAATACCTCACTAGTCTAGATCGCAATATTTAAGTTTCTGCCACTTTTTGGCTCATGCCAAAACATGTGCGAAGTCTAGCACCTTTGAACCAATTCCAAATAAGAACACTTAATACAGTCAAACCCCGCTATAGTGAACCTTTAAGGGAACGAAATTTTGGTTCACTATAACCGAGAGTTCACTATATTCATTATGCGGGCTATTTAACTAAGGGTTTCCAAATTCCTCCCTTTTATTACACGTTTTTCAAATAAATGACTGAAAAATATTATGTAGCAGCAAAAAATGTTTTATTTTTTATTACTCTTCGTCCTGCGTACAATTTTTTTTTTTTTTTTTTAATCTTTAGCTGTTGAGCAGTCCTCAACATCAGATATGGAAACATTTTCCGACTCTCAGATAATTTTTCCTGAATTTCTGTTAGTCCACTTTTTAAACCTGTCTAACCTCCCATTCGAGCACATTAAAGTAATCTCATTAAATCGCTTAACAAATTCATCGACATTTGTCCAGATACTGGAAGATTACGGCTTCTTTGAATGCTGAACCACTTCAGTAATGCTTCTTCAATATCCTTGTGGTCTGCTTTTCTAAACTTTTTTCTGCCATTTAAATTTTTTTCATGAGCAGAAATTGTTAATTGCCTATTTTTCCATATGTTACGAACTGTAGATTTGGATAGTTTATATTCCCTGCAAATATCAGCTTGATTACATCCATTTTCAATTTTTCTGACTATGCCCATTTTATCATCAATGGAGAACATTTTGCGTTTACTGCTCGCCATAGTTAAATTTGAGACACTTGTTTGCAGGCTTTCTTTAACTGCACTGAGAGCAAAAAGGAGTTGAAATGAGGGCCTTATCAACACATATTAGTGTCCAACTCTTTGACCAATAATGAATAATTACTCATTCCCTCTGACAGAAAATGCATATTGATCCCACTGACACCTTACAGGTGCATCATCTGCCTGGGTTGGAAACATCTACTTGATTTGTTTAGGGATGGGAAAGTAAGATAAAAGAAGCAAACAAGAAAAAAATGCTTATCGCTACCTATAGATGGTTTTAAAAATCGGTATATGTATTTATTTTGAAGTAGAAATTTCAAAATTATTACAAATAAATGAAGAAAAAAAATTAGTCGAAGACAGAAAAAAGTTCATTATATCCAACTTCATCACTTTTTTGGTTCACTATATTCACAAAAAATAACATTATATGGGTATAGCAAGGCATGGGACCGAACATTTTGTTCACTATATCCCGGAGTTCACTATACACCATGTTCACTATAGCGGGGTTTGACTGTAGTTTATTACAGGGAAGAACTTTTATTCAGATCATAAAGTTTTGATGATTTCTAAGCTAGTTTTATTGCATTACATTAAAGTATGAAATTCCGATTACTCTTTCAACTACACTAAATGAAAGAGAACGCATTCAGAAATAGATTTAATCCACTGTCAAGTGAATGTATTTTCTGAAGAGGAACAATAATAAACAATATAAATGATAACTGAAAAATAGAAACCAATAAAATACAATTTCCACGTTTTTTTTTTCCTCGGTATATGAGAAAGTTTTATATTTTATTAAAATTTTAAAAATAGAAAATTTTTTGGCAAGAAAAGTTTAAAAATCAACACACAATATCACTTTCTATGCTCATGAAAATGGATGACCTACTGTTTAAAAGTACTAAATAATACGTAAAACATTTGATTACTTAAAGCCTGTACAAATAACTATACTTATACACATTATTATAATATTTCTTTCTTAATATGTATCCATAAAAAATTGTAGGCCTCAGAAGTTCTGTAATTAAATTAATTATTTATATTTTTGAAGGAAATGCAGTGGAAAACCGATTTTACATTTTCCGTCAAACTAGAGCTAAAAAACACACAAAGCAGGATAATGTAAAATTGGTGGAAAAAAAATTTAAGTATTCTTCAAAAATTGATAGTAATGAGATAAGCTATTAGAAAAAAATTTGTAACATTTACATGTTTGCTTTTTAGATATAATCTCAATAGTATAATCCTCTACACTTATTATTTGCAACTTTGCTTTATGGTTTACATCAGTGTTCCCCAAACCCCAGACCGGTACCGGTCCGTGGATCAAATGGTACCGGACCACCCATTTCATTGAAACTGAATTTAAATTCCTAGGTTTATATCCCAAACTAAAAATATCTGCATTTCACTAAAATTTCATTTAATTTTTAAAAAAGACGTCCCCCCGAAAGTAGTGACATAAATTTTTTAATGTTTGTATTGTATCATTGTCTCTGATAACCCTCAGATGGAACAGTCTCATTGCAAAGAAATAAGCTCAGGGTTCTCATTGATTTAACGTTCTAGTAAGTTAAAATGTTAAATCACTTTATATTTATTTTTTGGTGAAACTGTATTTTATTTTTAAGCCATATTTAAATATAATTAAAAAAATTAATAAATCAAAATAATCTAGATTATAAATAATCAATGTCCCCCATCCCCCCTGCGTGCCGCGGTAAAATTATCAAACGTTGACAGGTCCGCGGTGATAAAAAGGTTGGGGAACACTGGTTTACATTAGCAAATGTTTCAGAGTTCTTACACTTTCAAATTCTAGATCAGTTATCCTCTTAATTTTTCTGCTCAACTTCATTGTTTTCATCTCTATCATCGGAAACAGGCATTAAGTTTAAATATTGAATGAATTGAAAAGTATGAGGATGTGTGTTGCAGATAATACATGCGATATCGACTTAAGAAAATTTCAGGTAATCTTCAAGAACCAGCAGAAAATGACACAGTTAATGCATGAAACGGGCAATGTAAAAAAAAAACATGGAAAATGTTCCACTGTATTATTAAATTAATTTAAAATTATTATACATGGTTAGAAAAGTAAAAAAAACTTAATTTTTAATAATGTAACACTCATTTTGATTTAATGATATAACACTCATAATTCTCATTTTGTCAAAAATTTTGGGTTATGCTAGTTTTGATATACCAAAAATTGGCTCTACATTTTAAAATAAATTTACATGTCTAAGTGTGTAACCCATAAAAATCATAGAAAAAGGATAGAAAAAGGATAGGATTATTTATTTTGTAAAAAAGGACAAAATAAATAAATAATTAAATAACTAAACTAAATAAAATAAATGAAACTTACATTCCTCTTTCTTTACATTTAAAGAGAAATTCCAATTCAAAGCACTGTATTAAAACAAAGCTTTCAAGGTAACTGAAAAAGAAATTAGAAAGAAATATACATCTATATTCAAAACTAAAAATACAAAATCATTCAACTTAGGGATTTTTTTTCTGTATACATTATAAGTGGGGTTGAGGACAACACATACCCTATAGAGTCCACTAAATGTTTAGTGTCATCTGATTTGACCATTCGAAAAGACTGTCTTAATCCAAATCCATGACTCTAAAAAATATAAATCAAAACTTTTAATCTTCATTAAAATTAGATCTTTAATCCTTATTTAGGAAAATGTTTAAAAATGATCCAAAAGCTTATTTTAACCCAGGGGTAGCAGCAAAGTTTTTTAAAATTTTAGGGTAATTTTATGAACTTTTTTCAAAAAATTTTAGATAAATTTTAGGGGTAATATATGATTTTGCAAGGATAAAAACAGATCACACGGTAGTTTATTACATAACAGAAGATTATTACAATTCATCCATACATATCATAAATAATTGCAAGCCATAAAATAAAGCTCTGAAATTTATTAAGTCAAGAATGAAATCTCTAAAGTGTAAAAATGAAATTTCAACTTTACATATTACCTATCAGAAATTAAGTGCATAATTCAGGAACAGGCAAAAGTGAGAATAAATCAAGAGAAAAAATAAATTAACACCAACTTGGATTTTTATTTAATTTTTACCTTCTTAATCAAAACTTTATTATTACCCTTTACCTTACTTTATTAAGAAAAACTATTGTGTGATATTATTAGATTTCAAATCAGCAATTTATATTAGAAGTTAGAGAAAAACAAATTAATCATGATCATTTTTCTAAAATATTCTTGATATGATTTGTGAGATTCTTTTACTGCCCTCAATAGTGTTGTGGTGATCTTCAACACTCCTCCATAATTTCGAATGGTATCTTTGATTAGTCTAAGAGACATAATAGTATTCTCATGGTGACTCACATTAAGCATTGCTTTATTTATCGAAAAACCTCTCTCAGGATCAGAATTCCCATGTGGCAAAATTAAAACAGTTTTAATTAACGTAGTTAAATTCTTATATTTTAGATTATTGCTTTTTTATTTATATTTAGCCTATAACTCTAATTTTTTAGGAACACCAACAAAATTTTATCAGATTTTTAGGAATTTTAGGGTTTGCACATACTTTTAGGAATTTTATGAATTTTAGGGGGAATGCGACCCCTGTTAACCTGAATTTGACATCAATTTTACAATATCCTTTTCCTTAAAATTGTATTGAAAACAGGAATTTTTTTTCCACTATAGGAAGATGCAAATGAATAATTTATTCAACAAATGTCAAGTCTCTATTACTTCTTCCCTTACTTTATCAAAAGGTGTTTTGCAGTATACAATTATGAAACAAAAGCTTATTAGGAATTATTTAATTGTTATTATAAGTGCCATGGATCCTGCTTTGAATCCAGTATAATCACAAGCAATTCTATTCATAATATAGGTTTAACTTTTTTTACCTGAAAAAGGGCAAACATTTTTTCAACATCTTCAACATTATGTTCTACGACTTTGTAGTATAACAACAATAATTGAAGCAGTTCTCCCTAAAAATTATAAATTTTATTTCATGACATATTTCAATTAATGCAGCAGGATTTAATATTTTCAATAAGATACACTATCGTTTAAAATGATGAGCACATACATCACAGATGCTTAAATAATAAGAGTTATGCAAGAAAAAGTTTCGATTTTTAGTTTAATTGTTTCCTGGTTAATTTAACAATATAACCAAGCACAAGCAACTGAACACATACATAGCAAATAATAAGAGTTATGCAAGAAAAAGTTTCTGACATTTAGTTTAATTACTTATGGCACAAGCAACTGAGCACATTCAGATGTTTAAATAATTGCAAGATATATGATAGAATAATATGAGAAATGAACTATATAATACAAAGTTCTGTTTTATGAAAAACCTCTTGCTTCAAGGTTTACAAGATTTTGAACTGTAGTAAAAAATAACATCTATATTAAAAATAATGAACAAAATCTACTAATATCAACAGGGGTCTGTCTAGGTTTTTCTGAGAGGTACCTATTTTGTGAAAATTTAGACATAATTTGTGAAAAATTAAAAATTATATTAAAAGATCAACACAAAAATATGGATTTTCGTTTCTTAAGGGATACAAAAATAAAATTTTAAGAATAAGTATTTTGTGAAACTACCGTTTTTCCTAGTTGAATTTGTGAAGCTACCGCTAAACAGTAGTAACTTCGGCCTGGACAGACCCCTGATCAATATCGCATAAAGCCAAATATCAATCTGATAGAAGTTGATATTCAGTTTAATTATATAATACTAATATAAGTAACCAAAGCTAAATATCAACCTGATTTAGCTAAAAAGTACATCATTAATTCATTTAGTTGTGACTTTAGTTTTCTAAGAAAAATATAGAAAATGTATTATCTAACACAATTAAAAAAAATCTAAGACAATATGGCAATCTTCTATTTCAAATCTTACAAAAAAAAGAGAAAAAATAATACAATAAAGAAGAAATTCTGTATTTAATACTAGATACTGTTGAACATTGTTATTGATGTTAAGTGAAACTGTGCTCAACATTTCAGCACTACTTTTAATATAAGAAGTAGAAAACTTAAGTACGTACCTGTTCTTTCAATGTATATGTAACCCAGTGATAAGACAGCAAATCAGTCTGAAATCATAAATACACATTTTTTTTAAAAATATACAATTATAAGAGGTGTAAACTAATTGCAATAATTTTGCATTATAAATAAAAATACCATATTTTAAATTAGAATCCAAATAAATGCTTAAATAAAATTTAATTAAAATTTTTTCTCTTTTGCTTATTTTGTTTATTTATTTACCATTTTAAGTCTTGTATCCTGATTCAAAAATAATAAAAACTAACAATATTAAACATAATACATGTCAGTTTGATGAGTGTTTGAATTGGACGAAGTCTCCTATGTAGTTCAGACTTTTGAATTCCTATTTCATCAAATCACGTCTATGCACATATTGAAAAATGTGAATAGAGTATTTATTTTATAGGAAGAGGAATGAAAATTCCCCAAAATAATGTCATGGAGTTAGGACAGCAACATTTTATATTTATAACCGTCGCCGAACAGTCGAATCTATTTCGGGTATGCCAATACTTATGTTCTCTCTACAGCAAGGGTGCCACTCTAAAAAAATTTCAAGACTGAACTTATTTTTTGACCGAATAATACTATCTAGCGTTGTTTACAAACTTTTATAAATTTATAGCTCACTGACACTAAAATTTACCTTTCCTTGATAATAGCCTACATATTAAATCAATCATTTGATTATTTTTTCTAATTTTTTTTTTCATTATTTTAGGTTTTTTTACCAAACAAAACAAAAATAACAGCTAACCTTGTATATTTTTTTACAACTATTACTGAACAACCTGAAACCATTCATATCTCTATTTTTCACTTTACCGTTACTTACTTTTTATTTTAGCACTATAATTTCTTTCCTTTTTAAAAAAATAATCTGGATTTAACTTTGGCCAGCTTGACAATAGGTTAGGGTGGGGGAAGCAAACTCAACCAGATTTAGATTCAGCAATAGTACAAATTTAATTACACAAATAGATGAAGTTCAACCAATCCAATTTGTCAAGACTTTAAGAATAAGATTTAGTGAAGCTGACAAAAAGAAGATAAATAAAAGTCCTGACATTACCATATCATATGTTTTCATTAATATATAATAGTACTTTTTTATTTTGACCAAAATAATTTTTAAATTTCTAATGAGAAAAAAAAAGGAAATTTAATTGATAGAATTTATTAGTCCATTGATTTTTCTCAAGACTGATTTCAGTCCCCAGGACTGAAGAGTTGCACCCATGGTCTACAGCCTTGTAATTTTGAATCCAATACAGAAGATAAGGGAACTCCTGGATCAAGTATTGGGAGAAATTTGCCTCCGTGGAGGACTTTTTGATGAAACTAACCCATATTTTTGTTGCATGGAGGAAAACCACAAAAACCTCTGACGGTTAGAATGATAGCAAGGGGACTCTATCCAATGATCTGCCTACCACTAAAGATATTTTTCTGTGATTGGTGCGAGCCCAGGATGTGGAATTCTTATTGACCAATAGACGCTGGGATTCGAGTCCGGTTCATCTCATTGGAAGGAGAACGCTCTGAACCCAAAGCTACCATGCCTCTCGGACAGCAACATTGTTGAGAATGTCTATATACATCTTAGAGTGCATGCTTTCAATCACAGGAACTAAGATACTTTGCCCAAGTCATGAAAATTACCCGTACCATTATGCCTCCACTTCTTGAGGTGGGAGTCTAGATACTTTTGACCAGAAAGTGCATAAGTAGTCTGATATTTCTATAAGACATTCATTTACAAAAACATTTATACAGATATCACATAGATAATTCAAAAAATTATAGCAAAAATACAAGAAATATGATTTAAAAGTTTTCGTTTCTTAAAATACCAATAATAAAAATTTATGTACTAATAAATAAGTAATAATACACTGGTGTGCAAAACTTAAGCAGCAAGTGGTTTTTCGGCCACAGCCCCCCAACAAAGTATAAGATAGCCATGAAATTGCAGTATAATATGCACGTAATTTAGTAGAATAATTATTTGTATGCAAATTTTAGAAATAAAACGTCGTAGGTGATGTAAGTGTACGTAAACCTTGTGGGTCGGAGCGCGCAGGTCAAAGCTGTGATAAAAGGATGAAGAGCACCATAGTTAAAGACATTCACTGCAAGTGATTTGTTTTGTGAAACACGTCTTCAAGAAATCATTTAGACGACTTTACTCGAGGAAGAATGATTGGGAAGTTTGAGGAGGGACGTAGTGTGACCAGTGTCGCCGAAGAGTTCGGGATCAACAAAAGTGTTGTTTCTCGTGCTTGGAATGCCTTTAAAACTACTGGTACAGCTGTTCGGAAGGTTGGTGGTGGCCGTCCAAGGAAAACAACACCAAGAGATGACCGTTACATTGTCCTCCAGGCGAAAAGAAACCGTTTTCAGTCAGCGAGCGCCATATCTCAGCAACTGTGCACAGCCACAGGACGACAAGTATCAAGATTTACAGTGGCCAGACGCCTCCACAAAGGTGGCTTATTTGCTAGACGTCCTGAACGCTGCATACCTTTAAAAGTTAGCCATCGGCGGCACCGTTTAGAGTGGTGCAGAGAACACGAAACCTGGACACCTCATCAATGGAGTCGCGTCCTCTTCACAGATGAGAGTCGTTTTAGTGCTACAAGCGATTCTCAACGTCAGTTGATCTGGAGAGAGGTTGGAGCTCGATTTCATCCCAATAACATCGCGGAAAGAGATCGTTACGGTGGTCCTGGAGTTGTCGTCTGGGGTGGCATTATGTTGAACGGGCGGACTGAGCTTCAGATCTTCGACCGAGGTTCTGTAACTGGAGACCGCTACTGCAATGAGGTAATCCTACCCCATGTGCGTCTGTTCCGAGGGGCCATTGGACCAGACTTCATTTTTATGGATGACAATGCCCGGCCACACCGTACTGCTAATGTTCAAGAGCTACTGGAAAGTGAAGATATCACACGAATGGATTGGCCAGCTTACTCTCCAGATCTAAATCCCATAGAGCATGTGTGGGATGCATTAGGGAGACGTCTTGCGACACGACAGTATCCTCCTGGTAACACCCATCAGCTGAAAGATGCGTTAAAGGAGGAATGGAGACGTTTACCCCAAGAACTCCTGGATAATCTGGTGCTTAGCATGGAGAGACGATGCCAAGCAACAATTACAGTAAGGGGAGGGCATATCCCATACTAGGGAACATCTGCCAGTTGTACTTACGCTTCTTCAGGCAATTATGTGTAATGCCACTATATGTCAAATGAAGCCTTTTTTTGTTCCATACCCTACTTTAAGCTTCATATTCATTTCTGCGCCATTATTCTTTTACCATCGCTTAAGTACAAAATAATGTACATCATATTCAAATTTCGTGTCAATCGGATGATTTCTTGTAGAGTTATGACAAAAAACGTTTTGCACACCAGTGTAAAATCCAATCTACACATTTTTCACAATCAGGAAATATACTTCTGCATATATTTGATTGGACGCCCGGTGGCTTAGTGGTAGCGCTTTGTGTCACAGGTCCTAGGTTCGATCTTCAGCCTTTCATCCCTTCTGTGGGTCGATAAAATGAGTACCAAGCATGCTTGGGGACAAAAACACTTGGGGTTCTGCGTTCGGCTGAGTACTTTCGGGAAAATCTGTTCTTGCACACCAGAGCTCAAGGTCAAGAAAACTGACATGGGCACAGTAGGCCTTGGCCCTGTATGGGCTGTCATGCCACTGAGTTAAGTACATATTTGATTGAGTTGTGGTCAAAAGAGAGTTGACAATAAAGAAAACAAAATAAAGGTAAGAGAATTGTGGTAAGTTTATATAATGATGATGTGTATTGGATAATGATTTAATGTATCACATATTACGTAGCAAAGTTATGAAAATTTGTTACAGGCCAGTAGCATTTTAACAATGGTCATTGAATACTTAAATAAAATTTTTTAAATAATGTAACTGTTGATATTAATAATGTTAGGCATTTCTTTTTGAAACATTTAAAGAAATCTGGTAAGCATTACAAGGTTCATTTTTAAGATGCAGAAAGAGTTTGAGAAACAAGCATGAAAAATTTTCAAAATATTCATAACAATTCCATATTTATTTAAAAATAAAAATATACACATAGGGTGCATTCTTGACGAAAAAAATTTTTAATTTAGGTAGCGATATGACCGAAATCAACAGAATGTAGACTTTCACAGGTAAATGTCAAGAATCACATATTTGCTTTGGGGAATGTCCAAAATATTTGTTATATTCGATTTGAAAATAGCTTACTCATTGATATCATTATATTTATTCGATACTTTGATGTCTGCTGAGGATAGATTAGGGGAAAAACAGTGTTCGGAGTGCTGGGCAAATGCATACTGGGCAGTGGCACTTAACTAGACCTAGTATATGTTTCGGACATTTACCAAAGTGACAACGTGATTGTTAACGTTCACTGCTGGAAGTCAACCAACACCAATTTCGGCCATTTGCAGTATCACAGTAACATATATATATCATATAAACATTGTCTCATAAAAAAAATACTTGAAATTTTTTTACGGAAAAAGTATCTTCGATTGTTCATAATTGTAGGAATAAGTATTCAAAACCATACTAACCATATAAATACCATGGGACTCCTTAGTAGGAAGTTCAGAATTTATAGAATTTTCTATTTGTTTTAAAACCTATATAATAAAACAAAAGAATTAAAGCTAATTAGTTTAAAGTAAAATTAAAATTAATAATGAAAACAAAATGATTCGAAAAAACAGACCTTGCTTATGACAGCATTATCTTTGTTATACTTTTCTAGGAAAGATTCATAAATATCCTGAAAAGAAAAATTCTGTGAATATCAATAAAGTTAATGAGAAAAAAGATAATCAGGGTTGATAAAAATTAGGATTTAAAAAAAAAAACTTATTTTAAAATTGGATTCCTTTTTTAATTGGATTTTTTTTAATTTTTCAATCAAAGCTCTTATAAAATGTAATAAAATAATACTCATACATTATAGCTAAATACATATTTTAGCTACAATTTAATTCAAAAATAAATATATAAAAATTATACTCTTAATATATTCATAAATTACATTGTGCAAAAACTTATTTAAAAAATCAGCTGATTTATAAGTTTTTTTTTTTAAAAAAAAATTAAGTGATTTAAATCATGCCAACTTTGTAAAAAATATACTCACAAATACAGAAAAAGCTAAAACACTGGCCTTACATGTGACACAAAAATGAATCTGTTTGGTGAAGTATAAACAGAATTTGGTAACAATAATGCTCTAAAAGCAGTTAGGTTTCCCTTGTTTATTATTTTAAGGCAGTTTTCTGATGTCAATTTTAACTATTGTTTAAACATTCATGTAAAACTATTTGTATAATACACTTTTAAAATTTAAGATAACCAGGTTTCTGCATATGTGATATATATCAGTGTTTTCACTACAGAAAAAAAATGGGAGCGAATTTCTCNAAGGCAGTTTTTTGATGTCAATTTTAACTATTGTTTAAACATGCATGTAAAACTATTTGTATAATACACTTTTAAAATTTAAGATAACCAGGTTTCTGCATATGTGATATATATCAGAGTTTTCACTACAGAAAAAAAATGGGAGAGAATTTCTCACCCTTTCTCAAAAAAAGGGTGAGATTTCAAAAAGTTAAGTGAGATTTCTAAAAATTAAAAAAACGCGAATAGACTTTACATTTTTAACATCTTCTAATTGAATATTTTTGCAGTATCATCATATGGAAAATGTTCTATATCTACTTTTTCGTCAGCTATTATATTTATTTGGCTGAAAAATATACGTATTTGTTTAGTTTTGACCGTTTCTACCGAAATTTTTTTCATTTTCATTTGTTCGTTACGAGTAGAAGATGACGCCTTAATTTGTCCATCTTACATTCCTGCACAAAAAATGTAAATGTCTTACATGAAGTAACCTTACCTACGGTGAACACATGGTTGCAGAGAAATGTCTTCTGAAAGGGGTTCAGCGGTTCGAGGGAGGGGAAGGTGTTCAACTGTTCGCACTGGTTCTGAACAATACTGGTAGATAGGGAAGCTAGATAACAAGGACCGATGTTCAAAATAATGAAAAATCAAGGAAGAAATGTGAAACGGATTTTATTCAAAACGGCAAAAGACGAAAATTTTTCCAAAATTCGCTCATTTTGAAATTTATTAATAGAGTGCGCGAACTTCTCGTGTTAATCATTTTTTATTGCGAGAAAAGAAAAAAATATGCGAGATTCTCGCGCTGTATTGAAAACACTGCATATTTCAAAACTTATATTTGAATATAATTTATATATAAACATGTGACAGTTAATTTATAAACTAAGGACACTATTTCTCAACCCTACTTACTCAGAAGATCTTAAATATTTCAGAAAAAATACCTTGGGGCAATAAGTATAGCCATTTGAAGCATTAGCAAAGTTTTTACCTATACCATATTGTAGCACTTAAAAATCTTTTTGGCCAGTTTGCTTCTGATCATTCACATACCCTCTAGAATGTGAAATATTTTGAGCCTAAACCTATTTAAACATAAATAAAATATATATTGATTCTAAAACTAATATTAATCCACCCTCTGGCAGTTGAGAAGCAATGATCTATAAAAGTGTTTTTACCTCAATCATCTTTTGTGAGAAAGTTAAAAGTAAACTAAAGTTGCAGATTTCAGATTTTTTTTAATTCAATTTTTAGTTCAATATTTTAGATGTTAGTAAAATTTTGACAAAATTGTTTTCATTATTTACTTTCTACTCATAACTAAAATGGTTCTTTTGCTAGTCACAAGAAATGTTCATTACAATGTTCAGAAATTTCTTAAAAGTCTCCATCCTTTCAATATCGACTAATATATATAGATATATATAAAGCAAAAACTATTTTTTTGTGTTTTTGTTCTTTAATAATGCTTTGTTTTTATATTGAAAGTATTTATAGTATGATACATCCTAAATTATACTATATATGAATTTTCTTTTTTCCCCATTTAAATGAATAATTTTAGATCCTGAAAATTTTCAATTTCAATTCTTTTAAGTTAAAACAAATTAAGAAATAAAAACTATTTAATTCTCAGAAAAAGTTTTGGATTTTTTTTTTAATGTGTCAAATTTAGAAAACTATAGAGCTATTTAATGTATTTTAGTTTTTTAAAATAATAATAATTAAAAGGGATTCCAGTCATATCCATGAATATACTTATTTCGGGTGAGTTCATGGACAACTTCTTCGACACTTAGCCCAACACAGATAAAACAGGATTGGTATTTTGTCTGAATGTAAAGTATTTCTTCCATGACAATGGAAGAAATAAGTTTTGACAGAAGAAACTAGACAAGACAGAAGAAACTGCACGAAATGGAAGAAACTAAAAATGACCAATAAAATTGCTTAGCAAGGAATATTTGAGAATAGCTTACATCTAATACAGTATTAAGAAGTTAAAAAATTTTCACGCCTACTTTTTTCAAAATTAATAGCTACTTCCATATTGTATACTTTAGTTTTCAACAGAATTTAAAAATCTAATAAACAAATTGTTCGAGAATGGATTTGAGTATTCATACTTGACAGTATTTGATTAGAAAAATAAGTAGGCTATTCGTAACTGTGGATTTAATATGTTTAGTAGGTGATTTGTTAATTTAGTATCATGAGTATGACATTTTAACAATTCTTCATATAATTATAAAAAAAGCCATACCCATTTACATAAATTTTAAAGGACTACAGTAAATTTAATTTCTTAAGAAATTCATTCAATTAACATATTTAAAATGATTTATTAAATATCTCAGAATTAATACTACAGTAGAGAACCATTTATCCGGTATCCAGATAACCGGGAAACCAGAAAACCGGGAAAATTTTTTCTCGATTTTCCCGCCATTTTAAACTAGAACGATTTTAAGCTAAAACGAAAAAAGCGGAAATTGGACTCATCCTTGAAGTTGAGTAGAAGAAAATGTAAGGAAGGGGAAAACTTTTTTTCCCGTTTACCCAGAGAAGCGTCATTTCCTCCGTGACCTTGAAGGCAGGGAAGGGAGGAATGCTTTATNATAATTGGTTCTCTACTGTATAATCAAAAATTGATTGCAATTACAAACTGAAAAATTGTTTTAATATTTGATATTTCTTTTTGAAAAAGAGTTTCTTCCACCAGGGTTGTAAGAAATTTCTTTCTTTCAAGGTGGCTTTCCTCACTAAGGAAGAAACTTGCCATACCTGAGCTAATAACATTTTTAAAAAAATGGTATAAAAATAACATAAGCTCATAGTAATAAAAGTATAATCAATGTAAAAGTATAGCAGACTATAGAATATTTTTATATTATTTGTAAACATTACAAAGCTCTTAGCATATTCAGATAGAATTCAACATATGTTTGTATTGGTTTGGCAAGTAAAAAGTTTTCAACTGAAGGGTAGAACATTAATTAAATCACAGGATGTAGCAAAGAGAAATTTTCTTACAGGACATCACTAAAAGCATTTATGACAGGATAAATGCAAGCAAGATAAGTAATAGCATTCAGTCACAAGCTATATGCATAGCTGCTAACATGGAAAATTCAGTAGATTTTACAAAATAATACAAATTTCATGATAATTGTTGTAAAATGTACTAAATATTTCACACATGGGGAATCTTAGGGATTTTTATTGTCATTAAAATAGAAAAATTGGAATAGTTTCTTGTCATGATTAACATTAAATGCATCCAAATGTTACGCATTATGCTTACCCATATTGAATAGTAATATGCATTTAGTTCCTCAAAGATAGTAAGATTTTAAATTAATTAAAAAAATGAGTGCTGAATTAGAATAAACTCAAAATTTTAGAGCAAAAAAATTTTAAACTGATTTTTATTAATGAGGTTCACTTTATGATGTATTCAAACAAGTAATAATCTGTGCAAATACTCTATTTCAATAGGAATTTCTCCAGAAACCAGGGTTGGGTTTTTGACGTCANCCATGGTTTAAACTGTCAAAAACTGTCACATGTCAAAAACCTGCCAGAAACTAACTCAATTTTAGGGGATTTTTAAAAATGAAGGAAAACCAAGAGAATTTTGATTAAATGAGTAGATACTAGAAAATCCAGTAGAGTTGGCAGCTATGTATACACACACATTGTCCACTGGACATGTGCAGTATAAGTTGAGACAACTTGATGGTTGAATTAAAGGTGGATCAGTAAAGGCATTGATAATGTTTATGTCTAAAACAAACAAAAAGTTTATTAAATAAGGAGTTGCTTACTTTGTAAGGATCAGTGTCATCCTGCCAATGATTGAGAATATGTTTCAAAATTAACATATAATAAAGTCTTTCACTATAATAATAGTGCCACATCTGAAATTAAGAATCAAAACATATAATCAACATACAAATCACAAGAGACAAAAAAGAAATTACAGATTTAAAAGGCAAAAATATGAATGTATCACACACTAGGTATCAAATGAAAAAAATTAATTCATTCCAAATTTAAAAGACATTATCCCCCCCCCTTTGCTCAGCTGCAATCATTTACCGTCGAACCTCGATTATTCCTGCATCTGTTACAAATGCTGTTTTTATATTGTTAACAATAACCATTCAGATCATTTTTGAAATCAGCAGATTTTCAAATTAATCCTACAAACATTATACTCACAATAAGAAATTATACTAAACATAAAGAACAATTAAAATTTCACTACTTGAATCAATTTGGGAGTAAAATACAAGTTTCCCAACTTTTAATCTCTTAAAATTATGATTGGTAGGTGCTTTATTTATGTCGCATTAGAGCTGCACAATAAGCTATTGGCGATGGTCTGCTACGATAGCCCAAACACCCGCAGACGATCACTTCATGGTAGAACAGTTTAACGAGGAACTATACCACACAGTCTCGGTCCCTACCCAGGCTGATCAAAGTGATCACTGCCAGTGATGCTTGACTTTGGAATTCTACTGGGAACTGTGTTTTTACTATCAGTCCACTGCGGGACCTCAAAATTAGGAGAGAGACTAACAAAAAGGTTTTTTCTTTTTTTTAATGTATTATATTTTAAATGAGGAGAGACAGTAAAAATAAAAATTTATCAATTAGATTCAACTTTAGATAGTAGGTACAACCGACAGATCTTAATTTTGAAAATTGAGAGGAATAGTAAAAATGTACAGAAATAAAAAAATCGGAAAGCTATTTACCTCATGCAATAAAGCTTGTGCCAATCGTTCATTTATCAAGTGTGCCTATAAAATCCAAATTAGACAAATAAAATTAGCAGAAAAATGTATAAAAAATTTAAATAACATACAAAATCTATTGATAAAAAAAATTTTAAACTAAAATTTTCTTGAATGAAAAATTTATTACAGTTTAGAGAAATTAAGAAAGTAAATTAAGAAGTCTATTACAAATTTAGATAACATAAATATTAAACCAATCAAAATTTTAATACATCACCTCAAGTGTTTTTTGTGTTCCCTTGAATTCATATGAAGCATATGCTAAGAACAAATCCTTACATTGCATGGCATCAACATTCTAAAAATTAAAGATCAGTTAAATTACTACCAGAGTAAAATACAATTTTGTATAAAAACTACTTAAATATATCAGTACACTTGTTTTTCAGCTTAAATATTACTTTAATACTTGCTTAGGAACTCAAAGTTAATAATCAATCGACTGATACAAACTTTATTTAAATTGCTTAGGAACTAAAAAACATTTTAAATTTGATCTTAATATTTGCTTAGGAAGTCAAAATTAAGATTATCAACTAATACAAACTCACAATTAATTTATTTAGATTGCTTAGGAACTCAAAGTTAGGATCAATCAACTGATACAAACTTTATTTAAATTGCTTAGGAACTAAAAAACATTTTAAATTTTACTTTAATATTTGTTTAGGAATTCAAATCTAGGATTATCAACTGATACAAACTTACAATTAATTTACTTAGCTTGCTTAAGAACTCAAAGTGAGGATCATCAACTGACTTTTTCAATGCATCCAAAGAAGCATCACTAAATAAAATAAAATAAAAGAACAATTTAAATATTGAAATTGTGTAAGAAAAATTTAGAAATAAAAGTGTGTAAATTTGCATAACTTACTTTGATTTCTTGAAGTGTAACACTCCGTTGACAATGTGGTCACTGTTTCTTTCGATTTCATATTGAATCAATTCCTGTATTTTGAATAAAAAAAGAAAAAACATTAAAACAAAACGGCATAAAGTTTACAGGCCTGAGGGTGGAAGGATTATCAATCATGCCAATCTTCATCTATCAAATGGTACCTCAAAATAGAATTAAGTTAACATGTCTTATATACTAGTGAATTGAAATGTAATAATTGTAGTGGTAGTTACGCCACAAGTTAATAATTTTAACTGATATTAAAATGAAAAGTTGACAAAATATAACAAACCTTGCAGTTCAAAACAGAGGAGCCTGTCACAAGAGACCACAAATCCTTGGCAGATCTAATTAAAAAAAAATTATGAAATACAAAATAGCATAATTAAAATTTTCATACAATGTTTAACCAATAAAACTTAAAATAACATCGAAGTTACTTTTCGTTAAACAAAATATCTGTAATTAAAGTCAAAAGAATGCTTTTTCTTAAATTAAAAAAAATACAGGGAATGAATAATTTTATTTAAAAATAAAACAGGATAGAAAAAGCTTCAATTTAAAAACTAAATTGATATTCCTAATTTTGTTAAAATTTCTTTTGAATTGTTTTGAAAATTAATAAAATATTTGATGCTAATATTTAAGCATATATAACACATGTTCCTTATCTGATAAGATTGTATCTTAAACAATAACAAGATTAAAATATTTCAGAATCAGTTCACCGAAACTTTTCAGATTCCCTCCCTTAGGAAAAAGGAATTAAAATACAATATTTAGAGGTTAAAAAAAAAGATTTTTTAAAATAAATATTTAACTTATTAAATTTTCACCGCTAATAGGTAATGATGCACAATTTTTCTAAAGAGTAAGCTCCAAAAATAAGAAAATACCATGTTTAGTCGAGGATAAACAAAATTAACATTAAGTTGTAATCATAAAACAATAGGGTGCATTTAGATCCTATTAACAAGAAGTATGATTAGCACATGTATAATTTATTTCTTTACTGAAGTGTAAATAGATAATTAAAATTGATAAACGAATTAAAGTATTTACTGTAAATACAACTAAAAAAATACAGGTACAGGAATTTTTATTTAATCTCTAAAATTTCAGAACTTTTTTCCTCCATTTCATTTGCGTATAAGACATTACATTTCCAGTGTTTTCACTACAGTGCAAGAATCTCGCATATTTTGTTCTTTTCTCGCATTAAAAAATGATTAACGCGAGAAGTTCGTGCACTCTCAATTTCAAAATGACGAATCTCGCGAATTTTTGAAAAAAATTTCGTCTTCCACCATTTTAAATAAAATCCATTTCACTTTTCTTCCTTGATCTTTCATTATTTTCAACATTGGTCCTTGTTATCTAGCTTCCCTATTTACCAGTATTGTTCAGAACAGGTGATACAACAGAACACCATCCCCCCCCCGAACCACAGAACCCCTTTTAGAACACAATTCTTTGTAACCACATGCTCACCGTAGGTAAGGTTTCTTCATGTAAGACGATTAAATTTTTTGTGCATGAATGTAAGGTGGACAAATACCTTGTTAAAGGCAACATCTTCTACTCCGTAACGGACAAATGAAAATTAAACAAATGTCGGTAGAAACAGTCAAAATGAAACCAATACAGATATTTTTCAGCTAAATAAAAAATCAGTTGAGAAAAAAATGAGTCCTTTATAATAACTTTATTTAAAGTCAGCTCTATTTTTAGCTGTTAATTTACCAAACTCCCTCATCGACAATTTACAGCAATTTGTAAAAGTTAAAGGCTATGAAAATTATACTATGGAAGACACAACATGAAGTATGAACATGGAAATAACTCCAATGAACTTCACTATTCTATAACAGAAATAATTGAAAAGCCTATGCTGGCAGATGTAGAGGATAGGTCAGCATTTGTTGCAAGGTCATTTAGTACTAAAAACCGATTTAAGACGAAATTTCATAACAGATTGACTGATAAGCATTTGAGCAACCTAATGAAAAAGTAGATATAGAACATTTTCCATATGATGATTAAAAATTAGAAGATGTTAAAAATGTATTATATTTAAAGAAATAGTTTTTTTCCAAGTCTATTCGTGTTTCTTTTAATTTTTAAAAATCTCAATTAACTTTTTGAAATCTCACCCTGTTTTTGAGAGGGTGAGAAATTCTCTCCCATTTTTTTTTCTGTAATGAAAATGCTGCATTTCCTCGCAAATATTTAACCCCCTTTTATTATACAGTATTTTTTTAAAAATCAATATTAAAGAATGTACATTGGCCTTGTCAAAAGATTCTGTGGGTCATTTTTGGTATCTTGTTTATAGAATATGTTACGGTATGAACTTTAATTTTTTTTTAAAGTTCTGAAACAATGTTATAAATTAATAACATTATTAACTCTGATTTTATAAGGGTGTCAGCTGCAGTAATGTTTTAAAAATTGAGAATATTTCAAAATTGGTACCAGTACCAAACTTTGATAACAAATGGGAGGTGGCAAGCGAGAAGCTGCAGAAAAAAATATATCACGGATGCATCCTTTAGCTACTCCTCAGCAAAACCCTTTTTTAAAAATAAAAGACAATTAACTGCAAAAATTCTTTGGTGTCTTGGTGATGGCAATTTGCATGAACAGCGATCAATTTACAGTTCTCCCTTTAAAATTCATTAATTATCACCCTTCATTGTAATCTTTTTATAAAAATAATTTAAGATCAAAGTCATTGAACAATTACCAACATAATAACCAAGGCCTACTTACGGACAGACAAAATTATATATTTCAAACAAAATAACTAGATAGCTCCAATAAAATTTTATGAAAGCAACGTGGAGTCAATTATTTTTAAATCACCAAGGCCACAAACTGTTTTTAAACAGAAATTTTTTTAAAAAACAACAAACAAGTAGAGGTTTGCCTGGGGATGGCTACCCTTCCAGTTGGTCCCTTGCTGTGACGTTTTCTTCTTCTTCTTTTTTTTAGTTTCTCACTGGCCTGGAAATAGACTAGACTTTACGGTTATTGACCACAGATCACCATACAGAAATCTCTCCTATCTTTAAACGAGTTGGGCTTGGCTGAATTATTTCAGAATTAACTTACATGAAATAATTTTTGAAAAAAAAAATTAAATGGACACAGCATTCTTGTTTCACAGGAAAACAAGTATCTTTGAGTAAGAATACAATTAGGAAATATTTGAAAATATAATTAATCTCGTCCTTCGATGTACATAGCCGTATAAAGGTTTGAAATTTTAACCGAACGTCATATTTAGCAAACAAGAACAACCATGGATAATTGTTACTCTGATAGTATAAATTTAATCAAGTTCGGTTTTACTTATTATTGAATATTCATTAATAGAAAAGAAATAAAACTCAGCTATTTCTCGGGGTCAAATAAAAGTATTTGTCCTCCTTAAGACATGAACAGCCTTCACAAATGTACTTAAACCAAACTACATTTAACAATATATTTTGAACCTGAAGAATCAAAAATATGATATATATAGAGAATTATATAGCAACAAAAATAACCAATAAATTTTGTCATGAAAATAATACATGTTTTNCCTTCACAAATGTACTTAAACCAAACTACATTTAACAATATATTTTGAACCTGAAGAATCAAAAATATGATATATATATAGAATTATATAACAACAAAAATAACCAATAAATTTTGTCATGAAAATAATACATAATTTTAAAAAAAAATGTTAAAAATAAATGGATTAACCTAAATGTTCGCGCCATGATACCTGCAAGCGAAATGTTTTTGTTTATAATTTGACCGGTAAAACAAATTCGTTGCCATTCATCAAAGGATTATCATGCTTTTGAAATTTGGAAGGCTCAGCTAGCAGAAATAACAAGTCAGCCAGCCAATCAAATTCCTTTACTCCTATGTTTTCATCCGACTTTCCTGTCACTGAATTTTTGATGGAAGTTTTGTATTCAACACAAAAACTCACTTATGAAATTGCTTTTAACGTTTAAATTCTTAATTAACTAGTCTTATTTTAAGTGTGTTTTGCTTCATTTGTTTTAGATTTAATGATGCTTTTAGATTTACAGATATGATTTTGCTACACTCGCATGAATCTTTCCAATTTCAGTATTTTCGAATGCGGAAAGTTGCATGGATATGAGTCATATCCTTCATGAAATTGATGAAAAATACTTCAAGCTCTTATGAAAAGAAATATAATGTTTTGGGTTAGTTTTATTTCGTTTTTATCTTTTTTTCTTTAAATTAATTGTGTGGCTATTATTGTGGTGAATAAATTTCTTTGTTATTTACTTACAAATGTATTTATTGGAGAATAACAAATTATTTATTATTTGCTGTTAATTACTATACGGAAATTCGCACTGACAGATCTCAAGGATTTAGTATTTTTCATTTGTGAAGCATATGTTGAAACTGTTTGTTCATCTAATGTGGTGAAAATATCCTCTATATAATTCCATAAAATATTTTATACAGATAACAATTTATAGTCTTTAAATCCTAATTATTTCTTAATATAAAAAATGTTGGGCTACCAAATTAATGTTAAAGTTTCCCCTAGGGCGCCTTTGGTATTTTGAAATTTTTTTTATGCTTATGACATAAAGAGTTTCTTATTAATAATCAATTAAAATAATGGGAAAAGGGAAATTTTTTCAAATGAAAAGAGCTCCAAATTATAGTGCCCAATCCAAGGGGTACCCTATACCACTCTAACAACAAGTTTTATTCAAACATATTACTGTAAATAAAAGCATATTACAATTAGTATATAAATTTAGGAAATGCAAAAATTTTTGTTTTTAGTGTATATTTTAAACAAAAAGTATTGCTATGTATATATTTGTTTCCGGGATTAGTGGGACTTGTCCATTTTAATGTTCTTCCATCAATGTTTATAAAAAAAAAAGTAAATTGTTATTTACTTTTTCTTGTTTTTCTATCAACAGCTTTTTTAAAAAAAAAATTTGAAAAAACTGTATTGCCGACAATTGATAGTTCCTTTTTGTGATGCCATTAGCCAGTTAAGGTAAGATTTTTGTGTTGATATCTCTTCCAAACAATCAATTACTTATGGTGACTTACTGGCAGTAGCCTGTGAGAAACTGAAGGGGAAAAAATAATGCAAAGGAGAACCAACTAAAAAGGTAAAAGGAAATGGATATCGACAGAAACTGACCTGGAAGTATCTCCCAGTTATGTTCTGAAAATTCAGCATTAGCATGCATTGTATTTAAAGTGCTTAAATATATTTTAAAATATCTTAATTTTATAATGACATTATTTCATTTGCTTTTAAGGTATTATATCTTTATTTTTGTTGATAGTTTCAGTGTAATAGATTATTATAATGAAAAGGAAGAGTCCAATAGTTCCTCGAAAGAGTGGGGCTACAAGCAATGGTAGTAATACTCCAAAGCACCTAATAGCACAATCATCCAACACTCTATCATCCTTGTCACCCAATTACGGTGCTCCGGGAGCCAATACTCCATCGACCTCTTATTTGACTTGCTGGCCTATGGTGTCAACCACATCAGATGATCATAATAATATGGAGGAAATAACAGATGTGGTAAGCTAAATTTTAAAAAATTTCTGTATTGCTCGGTTGTCTTTGAGGTTAGCATTCTGTCCAAGAGAAACTTGTTTTTCCTTGGACACTGGAAGAAATGGAAACAAATAGACAAAACTAAAATTAACCAATAATTGCCTTACAATATGCATGGATGGTTGACTGAATGTAAACAATAACAAGCTTCCTGAAGCCATAAAAAGTTTAGGAAATTTCGGTGTATCTGTTATGCTTACGAGGCGATGTGTGAGCAGGCCTAATATTCTAGGAAGTTCTATTACTTCGACTTGTGTTTAAATTTACTCATAATTTTACCGTTCTTATGAGTTTTCTGTAATTTAAAGTAAAGTATACGGTTAGCCATGTTTTGAGTGTTTTCCCTTATTTGGTTATAGTTGTGTATAATAGCATCCAGGGTTCGTGATTTTTTGGATTTTTTTTAAAAAAAAATCAGATTTTTTTTATTTAAGTCGGATTTTTTGGATTTAAATCAGATTTTTTTTTTTTTTATTCAAATACATTGTAAGAACTTTAATTTTTGTTTATGAATGTTTAATCAAAATTAAATTAACATTAAAACAATATTATAACAATATTTTAGAAGCTCTAACTTTCTAAAATAATTTTTCATTATAATTCATAGCTTTGAATACATAGCAACCATTTTGAAACAAATGCATAATTGAAATTAAGGCTAGATGAAATAGAGAATTTAATGATTACTTCAGGGGTCTGTCTAGGTTTTTCGGAGTGGTATTTATTTTGTGAAAATTTAGACACAATTTGTGAAAATTAATAATAATATTAAAAAATCAACACGAAAATATGCATTTATCGTTTCTTACGGGACACAAAAAAAGCATTTTAGGAAAAAGTATTTTGTGAAACTACCGTTAATCCTAAAGTTGAATTTGTGAAGGTACCGCTAAGCGGTAGCAAATTTTGGCTTGGACAGACTCTTTAACTATGAAAGTAAAGTTTCAATTAACAAAACATAATTTTAATTTAAAATTATGATTTTTTTTTTCTTGATTTTTAATATGACAAAATAAATGTAACAGATTGTGTTTATAAATGTAGTCGCTCATCAAAAAATAAATAANTAATCCTATATCAAAATAGATGAGCTAAAAAGAATTTTTAAAAAATCTATGTACTCATTGGAATATTTTTTTTTACAAAATTTCTTTATAGAAAATCTGACAATGTCAGAGATACAGTAAACATATTATGAGGGGAAAAAAATACCAGTTAATAACTCTTCTGCCTCAAATAGACTTTGAAAGGGATGAATGACACTATATCATGAAAAAAATATCTGAATTCATTAGCCTTTTCTATTTATGGCATAATTACCATGTTAGGGTAATTTCTTTTTTAAAATAACCTCAAGCTTTAGAAATATACATTTTCCCCCAATAAAATATAATACAGATTTTAATTCCATGTTTTTTCAATCAAAAGGTATAATTTTAATTAACACTATTTGCATTCTTTTTTCTTTTTTTTTTTTGAAAAAAAATTCATGATTAGTAATTACTTTCTACAGCTATGCAAGTCTATATTAAGAGAGCATTAAATGTGTACTTTAATCTGTACTTTCAACCTCAAGAATCAAAAGATTTTTAAAAATGTTATTTCAAATGTTTTGGAATTTAGCACACACCAAGAAAGAAAGTAATTTTGTTAACTAAAATTAATTAACACAACAATTTATTTATAATAAATTTTGAAACTAAAGAATGAAAATAATAAAAGTATCAATAATTTAATACACTGTTTTTTAACTTTTAAAATTAATATATATATTTAAAAAAATCAGTTGATTTAAATCAATGATTTTTAAAAAAAAAATCAGTTGATTTAAATCATGATTTAAATTGTGATTTAAATCAACAAACCGTGATAGCATCATTAGTTATTTTTTGGGTAGCATCATAGCAAGCATGCAGAGTCTTCAGAATGCATTTGTTGTTTGTTTCATTGAAAGTTAAATTGAAAGAACATGCTATATTGAAAACACTACAAGTATAATAATATTGGATGGAGTGTTTTTTTCCTTCAAACTTAGGCATAAAAATCAGTCGGAAATCTTACAGCGCATATTAATCCTAACGTTATCTGTGCATAGCTTTACACAGTTACCATTCATTATAAGAATAGTTTAAATTTAATAAAGTACCAGGAATTTAATATTTTTTCATTTCGGCTTTTTAAAAAATAACTATTTTCTTATTTATTCTCATTTTGCACAGAACTTTAAATTTGCAGCTATGTCAGATTATTTAAAGATCAGTTTGAGTATTCTTGCTTAACTGTATATTTGATTTTAAATCTGTAATTGTGACTTAAAAATCTGTTGGGTTCATACCAGTATGGCGACAAGTGTCGCCAAATGTTCTACAAATGTTGTTTCATATGCATGGACAACAAATTAGCCATCTTAAAATATGTTTGGAATTTATAAAATAGCGGTAAAAATAGTTTTTTTTTTGCATAATTGGTATTCATTTAAAAAAATTATTGTACTTATTTTATTGTTCTATGCGTGGTATGAAATTGAAATGTGTGGCATATAAATGAAATAACAGAAAGTGTTTGGTTGAAGAAAATTCTAAACTTTAATTTTGAAATTTACTTGTCATGCTGTGCTTTGCATTCATGTACTGGCAGTATAACTTTTAATCATTGAAATAATGTAGTTTACTGTTCTAGAATTGACTTAATTTAAAATTTTATAATTGTTTGATAATTATTTTAATATAATATTTTATTAACTCTTACTATCTTTGTTTTCCTATTTATTTACTTGTTTGGTCTCAGCAATTTCATCTCGTTGAATCTATTTAATAAGATTAATTAAACTTTTTTACACTTAATTTAATCAATAATCTTGAATCATTACAGGGCTATGAACCTTATTAGTTTTCGGGTGTTATAGATGACAATTATAATTTTTGTTGTGTACCATAGTATGAATTGTGTAAAAGTTTGATTATTTTTTCTAAGTTTGTCTTCCCTATTGGGTTTTGGATCACTAAATGAATACCTAGGTTGTCCTGTTGGACCACTAAATTTTCATTGCTGGTGAGAACCCTAAAAATGTGATTTGTATTATGTATAATGTTTAGTATGTGGTATGTTAATTTAATAAAATTTTATTATGATATTTATTTTATAAGGAGAGATTTTAGTTTATAATAACAAGATTTTACTATTATCGTTTCCATAAAATATAGAAGGACTAAGTTATATTAAGTTCATAAGAAATTTATTATATCTTTTTCAAATTCCGTATAAGAGTACACAGATTTAAAAAAACTTATAGTAAATAGTTTGGAAATTAGTCCTACTTATAAACTTGATTGCATTTCTAAACTGTTTAAAACATTGTTTTAATATTTGGTGTTTCTCTTTGGAAAATATCTTTTCTTAGTAGAAGAAAGTTGCCATTTATTATAGTCATAAGTATAATTCATAATGAATCCTAATTATATATTCTTTTATATTTTATTTTTTTTAAAGTTTTATTTTGATGTTTTCGTATTAATTTTTTTTTTAAACTGGAAATTTCAATCATCTGAAAATATTTTAAATTTGTCTTTAAATCTTATTTTAAAAAAAGTCAAATTTACAGTGATATTAGTCTTTTAATTTTCCTGAAATATATTTACAAATTCCATAAAATTAACAATGTAGTTGTAGTGTGTAAAATAGTCAAAGTATAATATTTTTATGTTTCCAGTTTAAAAGTAGGTATGCAAAATTTTTAATTATTTGCATTATTTAAAATATTTTAATTTATTTTGCAGGAAATTTCTTTCAATCGTCCAAGCACTAATGCACAAGACTCTTCAACTAGTCAAAATTTCTTCCCTGAAGAAGGAGGCTCTACCCCAGACTTTCAAAGAACAAGAGCAGCAATTGAACAAACTTACCAAAAAATTGCCCGTACTAAAGAACTTATTAAAGAAGGTCAAACCGCACGAGATGGTAGAAATCTTTTTTTATTTTTAATTACTTTGAGTGAAACTTATGTTATGCATATCTTTTTTCTTATTTCCAGATATAGAATTCTTCATATTTAATAACATTAATTTTATATTTCTATTAACTTCAATAGGAATTGCTCCTTTGTTTAATGCTGCTATACTGTTCATTGATTAGTTTGTTTATTTATGCGTTTGTTTATTTATGTTTTTATTTCTAAAATCATGGTTTAGATTTCAGATATTCTAAAGTGAATTTGATCAGCACATCTGGAATTTACTTTAAAATGTGTTTAATATCTTTAGTTCTTGAAATAACTGAAATTTTATTTTGAAAAATGTAATCACTATAAAAAATAAATATCTAACTATATTTTTTACTGATATCTAATTTCAAATATTAGATCAATGTCAATCAAAATTCCATATTTAGCTTTATTTTTAAGATCACATTTATAAATTTTGTAATATGTTGCCATATAGAAGATATGTAACAAACTCATATAATCTCTGTGATGCTTTGTCGAGGTGCTACAGTACGAGTCTCAAGAGAGAAATTTTTTTAATGAATTTGTTAACTGCGACCCAGTCACACTGGCTATTAATATACATTCAAGAGTATAATGTTTCATTTTTTTAGTTTAAAACTTTATCATTAGTTATTTTTTGTTTATAAAACTCTTGGTACTTTTCAAGACTTGCCTAAGAACTACTGAATGATACTTTTATTCTTTTAAAAGTAGATGGTTATGATACTGATGCAAATAGTAATTGCAGCATATTAGTTTAGATTTGCTGCGAGTATGGTAAACATTTTATTGTTTTAAAACAATTTTAAAAATGCAATTAGAGCTTGTTAATGAAACAGTTATTAAGTAAATGGGGGGAAGAAACTCTAGACGTAAGATATTACTTATTAAAAACTTCATTTGCTTCAAAAACATACAAATTTAAAAAAAAAAAAAAAAAAGCAGTTTTTGTTTTAAGCGCTAAAAAACAGGTGCCCATTTTTAAGACTTGCTAGGTGTGAATGAGTGTCAACTTTAAATTTTATATTTCAAATCACTTTTATTTCTTCTCTTTCACATCTGGTGATGTCTTGAAAATGTGTGCCTGTTTTTGAGAGCCTGAAACCTGTAGGCGTTTTTTTGAAGTGAATAAAGTTTTTAATCAAGTAATAGAACAGGTATTGTTTGCTGTTCTGGTCATTATTTTGGGAAGAAGTAAAGTAATTGGTCTTTCAGCAAACAACAATGGCCAATTTTCAAATGGGCTGGCTACATTGTTAGAATAAACGAAGACCACACCACAAAAATAGTCTTAACTGCTCAACCATTAGCTACATAAGGAAAAGTTAGGCCAAATCCATAATGAATTGACTGATCGAAAAAGACCTTAGGGACTAAAAATTTGAAAACGCTATCAAGAAGAAAGCTATTGAGAAATAAAGGAATGTTATTGGTCTAAAAATGGTACCAGTATTTAGCACACTCTAATTTTAAGGAAATTCATTACTATAAAACAATGCTGAATCATTGCATTTGTATTATGTATAATTAAAAACTTCATTATTTACTTTTTTCTACTTTGTTTTATAGAAAACGTTAATGAATACCTGAAACTTGCTGCAAGTGCTGACAAACAACAGTTGCAAAGAATTAAAAATGTATTTGAAAAGAAAAACTTAAAAGCAGCTCAAGCTATTGCCCAACTTCAAAAGAAATTAGAAACTTACAATAAGAGAATACGAGACTTGGAAACTCATGGACTGAGTAGTAGCCATTGGCAACCAAGAGAAGTGCTGAGAGATGTAGGCCAAGGCTTGAAGTAATTTTTTTAAATCCATTTGTGATAATTTGATGTTATACCTATTGTTTTTTTTTTTCTTAATATTTTTTCATAATGATGTTCAGAAATTGCTATCAGACGAACCATGGAATTTTTTTTTTAAATTTTCTTCATGTAATGTCTTTAGGTTTTAAATTGCTTTATAGAAATGTTTGTGTGTTGGGCAAATTCAGAAGCTAATTTTTCGATTTTTATTGAAAGATGAGTAAAGAGTTTCTGTTATAAACAGGGCTTGTAAAATATGATCGCTCCATTGTCAATCAGTAAATTTCGACTAGACCTTTTTTTCAATTATGGCTTGACTTTTTCCTTATATCTTAATATTTGATAAAAAAAAAATCAGCCTGGGAATTGATCTTGAGCAATATTTTTTTCCCAAACAATCATTTGAGAAGTAGTCCTAATTTTCCTTATCTTTGCAATACAGCAAATTCCTCAAATTTCAGACTGCACGTTTTGTAGTTTTACAGTTTTAAAACATAGAAATTTTAAAAGTCATGAGGAAATCTGTAGCAATGAAAAAATTCCACAGAATAATTGTGAAACTAGTGTCATCTGAATGTGAGTGTTGATCCAAATAAGCACGGTTTTGAGATTCGTAGGTTGGAATAACATTGTATTAAAAATATATATTTATATGAATTTTAAAAATAATGTAGAAATTTGAAATTTTCATGTAATGATAATTTCATATTAAAAAATTATTAAATGAAATGCGTTTGATTCGATGTATTTGCCGCAAGATAATGATAAACAGAATTTCAAATTTTAAAAAGAGAAAATTAATTAAAAGGGATGTAATTATTTGTACTTACTACTAGAATTTATTAAAGAACTTTTTTAATGTAATTGAATAGTTCCATAATTTCATTAAATATGAACAGTGGGCAGAGAGAAAAAAAAAAAAGAGAGATTACTTACCCTTTAAAACAGGGGGGGGGGGCTTGTTGCAATCTGAGAATTTTTTTTTTTTAATAGTTTGGTCTGGAGAACTTTAGACTGCTCTCCTGACCGAACTATTTGGACCATATTTTCCAGATTTTGGCTATCTTCTCTATTTTGAGCTTCAGAAATGCAAATTGTTGAAAAAGAGGTATATTTATTCTGAGAAACTCTAAGTTTGTCTTNTTTCTTGCTCACTGTTCATCTATTGTTCAAATCTAAATAATTTATTTTCATAAGGGAATATTTTCGAAGCACAATTACAAATTCTTAATACCTCAACTATTCTTAATTATTCCAGCTTTTATTTTGCCCATCCTTTTACAACTTAAAACTTGGTTCAAGTTATATAATTAGCAAGGTTCAAATTAACAGAGATATGATTATCTGAGGCACTGAAATTTTCCCCTACACCTGTAATAAAACTAGGTATTTTTTTGTTACAAAATAGCATATCTCACCAGAATTATGAGCATTACATATTTAATTTAGCTATAATTTTATATTTGAATTCATTTTATTAACTTTTTTTAAAAACTAAGGGCACTTGCAAACGGACCTATGAAAATGTTTACGGGCTACTTCTACCTTTTAGTTATTGGTCTTTCAAACCAATGACTAATTTTTCTTAATTTTTAATTGTAGAAAATTTTTGTGAATTTTGTCAATAACAAATAAACTAAGAATTTTTTCTAAATTATTGGACTAGTTGTTTTAAAAATTGAAAGAAAAATTAATGTCTGTCTAAAAATACTTAATCTCTTTCAGAGATGTAGGAGTAAATATTAAAGAAGGCATTACTGGATTTTCTGGGTAAGATAACTATATTATTTTTGTGCAAAGTGATACGCATGATGTTAATAAGTTTTTAGTGTGTTTATAATGTATGCTTATTTTGTTTCTGCTTAAAGGAAACATTGATTGAAAAATGGTATCAACTTTTAATATTACAAAATTGTAGTCAAGTTAATAATGTGTTTAAACTTACTTTTCTATGCAGCTGAAGTAATTCTAAAAATGAAAAGAAGAAATATGCTGTATCTGAACAATATCCTACTATGAATTATTTTATATTTCAATTAACTGCATCAGTGAAAAGAAAAATAAGCATTCTTTTCCAAATGTAATTATGCATTCTTAAGTGAAAAAGATTACTAAGTATAGGGCAAAATTAGATAATTTTGTTATATTTTTAACAGTCACCACTTATACAAGAACCTATGGCCACTTTTTCAAAAACTATTTTTATTATTAATGTAAATAAATTCTCGAAATATGATAAACATTATAAGTTTATTTCTAAAATGAAGAGAAGTTTAAGAAATTAGTTTTAAAGTAAAATAATTTTTAGAATATTATTAAATATTCATCATGCCATATTTATCTGACAAAAGACAATAAAACTCATGTAGAGCTAATTTTCGACAAAAGTGGCTTATATTACTAGTATGTCTTTACTAGCTTAGTTACCACCACTTTTTTTGTCAAAAACGTTTATATTATTAATTTAAGGCATTTCTCCAAATATGGTTAACATGGTAAGATTTGTTTCTAAGATAAAGAAAAAAACATAAGGAATCAGTGTGAAATGAACTAATTTTTAGAATATTGTAGAATATTCATAATAATTCCATATTAATTAAACAAAATTATAATAAGGATTCACATGGGGTACATTTTCGACAAAAAGTTACGATTAGTTGACAATTCCTTTAAAGCCAATTATTATATTTACTTGTCATATAAATATAGGTTACTGTGACCCCATTTGTTTTAGCTATTATATCTTACGTTTTTAAATTTTATTTATTTATTTTTTCATCAGGCGTAGTTTAAAGCACCATTGACATTTTTATTTTATCTTGAGCATATGTGTTTGATTTTTCTTCAATCTTTAGTTTGTCTTAAGTATCATCACATAAATTCGAATAACGAATCAATTTAGTGTATATTTTGAAAATATAAGTTTATGGGGTTATTTTCATTGTATAATTCTAATAATTTGAATTAAAGAATAGTATAAGTAGATTTTTCATTAATAAAATATTTCTTGAATTATATCATTTTTTTCTACTTTTAGTTTGTTTAAACATTATGAGAGCAATTCTAAACCAAATAACTAATTAAATTAGTACATAATTTGAAAATTAATGGTATATAATATAAATAATTGGAATTAAATAATAACATAAATAGAAAAAATATATTTAAATTTCCCCCCTCTTTATGGTTGTTTAATTTTAATTGAGTTTGTGTAACTATTTATTTAGATTAATTTTATTTTATTCCGGCAATAAATGAATAAACAAAGTACAGCTTTGTACAATCTAAATATGTTTTTAAAATTTATGACATTGAAAACCAATTTTGTATATGATTAAGATACATTTCTTCAATCACTAAAATAAAATTTAAAACTCTTGTAGAGGAGTTGTTGGAAATATTAAGGGTGGACTATCAGGTTTGACTCAAGCTACACATAGTGCTGCAGAGTAAGTTTTTTCACTTTCTTATATTACATTTATTTAAATATTTGATGCTATAAATTGTTGATTATTTTATTTTAACTTAGAACTGTCATGTCTAAGCCTAGAGAGTTTGCCCATTTGATTAAAAACCGATTTGGAAGTGCTGACAATATTAGTTCCTTAGAAAGTAAGTCATTCGTTAAGTTCTCAATCCTCAAATAAAACAGTGAAACCTCTCGGAAGCGACCACTCTTCATTCCCCAGTAAAATGGTAGTTGATGGATGTTGGTCATTTTTAGAGGTTACCTCCGTTGACTTCAAAATAGTAAGCGAAGGTTCATGATTTTTCTCAAATGGTTTTAATTTTAGTAAGTGTCATTTTCTTGGGGTGGAAATGCCTCTTCTGTTGGCGTCTTGTAAAGACGGATAGAGGATGAAGTGTAATGTCTATAAAAATGATCCTGACAGATATAATTATGCGTAAAATCAAATTTACAAATTATGAATGATAAAACTATTTCAAATAAAAAAATTATGTTTTTTTGTTTAAGTTTGCATTTGATTTTATATCATTAAAATTAATTAGCTTTTAAAAGATGAGAAGAGGTTTGTTTGTTTGAGATGCTTGTTTTTTCTAAAAATAACTTTCCTTTTCTAATTTAACTTTCAACTCTAAAATTAATTCATTAATAGCATCGTCCTTAGTGCACACTGACTGCAGCATGAGGTTGTATCATCAAAAGGAGCTCTCTAAATAAGAGCCTTATGCAAATATTTTGATCTACTTATCTACTTATTTATTTTGTTTTGATTTTTTTTGTGTTTCCTTATTTGAACCTTTTCCGCCAGATATTTGCCCTGTGACTGTGAGAGATTTTAATTATCTTTCCTAAAGGTTTTCTTCAACACGGTCTAAGGGAAAAATTCAGGGCCTCCCAAAAGTGGTCGCTTGCCGTATAGAGGTGGTTTTTCCTGAAATTTTCACTGTCTTTCTATTAATTGATTTTTAACTATCATTCCTTTTACTTGATAAGCTTTATGACCATTTCTGTTTAAACTGTTTTAAGAAAGGTTTGATTAGGATTTTTTTTTATGTCTTTCAAGTATCTACTCATTGAAGTTTATTATTTTTTCTTTTAATATTTAGTATTAGTGGAGCTGTATTTTCATATTTTTTTGTTTATGAATAGGCTTTAGTGTTATTATCTTGTTATATTTACATATTACATTTTTTGTTGTTTTAAACACAGCATTCTAGACATCATAAGAAAATATTAGACCCTAAACTTATTATTTTAAAGAATTCTGCAGCCCAAGAATTGGACTACTTTAAACCGTTTGGTTACTTAATTGTAAGGCTTTTTTTGAAAAAGGCATTATTACATATGAGTTTCATGTAAATACTGTGAGGTAATGGTAAGTTACAACAGAATTGCATTTTAAAAGACTTGGAAGAAAATCTTGCATATGCTCTTAATCATTAATATTTTAAGTATTTTTGCTAGTGCATTGGGATTACATTCAAAACCTACAAACTAAACCTTAAATAAAGTAGACTTTTAAAGTTACAGTACACACTCAATATCGCGAACTTCGATATCTTGAAAAACTTGTTATGACGAAAAAATAGTTTTCTCCTTGGCATTTTATATCCACCTAATGCTAATTTGATTTTTTATGTCGAATCTTTTTTGAAATAGAAATTGAATTTTTGCTGAAAAATCACGATGTAAGTTTATTGTAAACCATTCTTTTCTGTTTAATGCATAATAGTTTTTGTCTTACTTTTAAAAATAAAATTATCATTGTTGTATTTAGACTTACAGTCAACTATCATTTCATGCATATTTAATAGTAGTTATTTTTATGTTTTATGGCTCTACTTTTTAGAGTAATATTTTAGAACATATTTTTCTACTTTTCAGAACATATTTAGTTCTGAACTTGTTTTCTCGAAAACTCTCTTTCCCGAAATTTTTTTAACATTCGTTTAACTTTGTGGCTTCAACAGTCTACTGTATTTATAAATTTGGATGATAAAGTAAAATTTCAAATTAAAAGTTTAAAAAAAATAATAATTGTATAATGAATCGCTTTTCTGTAATAAGCTGTTTGTATTTAACTTTGTTCTTCACTCACTTTCATGTTATTCAAATGTGTTTACCCAAACTATATGTTCCTGTTTTTTCTCACTTCAGAAATTCCCCAAGAAGGGCCTGATTCTCAACAACGAAATATTCATGGTAGTGCAACTTTTACGCATTGCAGGTATACAATATTTTAAAAAAAATCTTATTCTAAACATAATTTAAATCACAATTTAAATCACTTGATTTTAAAGAAAAATTCATTGATTTATAAAAACTTTAATTATATTTTAGAAAAGTCATTGATTTAAACAAATTGAATTTTTTAAAAACATCTTTAAGCAGTTGAAAATAATTTTCTACAATATTATTTAAGTTGTATATGTTGTTCATAGCTGCTGACTCTACTGGATTTTTCAGTAGACTACTGTATTTTGCCATCATGTATTTTGTACATCATAAGATTCATTAAGGTCCAAAAGATAAAATGGGCAGGCCACTTAGTAAGAATGGAAGAAGACCGTATTGTGAAAAAGATTTTTGATGCCCGGCCGACAGGAACACGTAGAAGAGGCAGGCCAAATCACAGATGGCTAGATACCCTGGAGAAAGATTTATCTATATTAAAAATAAAGAATTGGAAGTCCATTGCCAAAAGAAGGACAGCTTGGAAAAAACTACTGGAGAAGGCTAAGGCCCATCCTGGGCTGTCGAGCCAGTGAGGAAGGAAGGACTGTATTTTGCCAGTTTCTCCTGGTCTACTGGTTTAATAAAAATTCTCCTGGTTTTTGTACATTTTTGAAAATTCCCTAAAATTGAGTAAGTTTCCTAAAAAATTCCCTATCACAATAGAATTTTTGCACAGATTGCTGCTTTCTTGAATATTTAAATAAGTATTACTAATACATAAAGAGGTGAGCCTCATTTATAAAAATAAAAAATTGGTATCTATACTATCAAGTTCATTTAATGTCAATTATGACTGGAAAAAATTGCAATTTTTCTATTTTGATGACTATAAAAACTCCTAAAACACCCTATATGTATAATATTAGTACATTATAAAATTACATGGTTATATCTACTGGATTTTTTTCTTATACATGTTGGCAGCTATGATTGTTGTATATTCTAGTTAAGTTCTTGTTATTTAGAATTGTACACTCACTCGAATTTATAAGCCTTGTGGCATTTTAGTGTTTTTTCTAAAGAAATTTTAAACACTGCTTAATTTTGTTATTGTAGTATCAAATATGGATCAGATGACGAGAGCTCCAGTTTCACCTCAGGCTCTGGCCATTTAGCTGGTGCTGGTGTCGTCCCAAGCCCTAGACATCAGCCTCTACTCCAAAGGTCGCCTCCTGAACATTCTTCCACCCCTACGGTCACACCTCTTGTGTCTGATCTAGAGCCTATCTTGCAAGAGCTCCGTGAACGACGCGAAGAATATCAACGTTTGGTGGAAGAAATTGAAGCTTTGAAAGTAATTTTTTTTTAAAATCAAATTGTCAGTGTCATAATTGTCTTATAACATTTTATGAAATTAAAAACTTGATGTCACTAAGTTTTTTAATTTCTTCCTATTTTTTCAGTTTTTCCACTTGCTTAGAATATTTCTTACTTTGAGTACTTTTGTGATTTATTGGTTAATAATTTAACTCTAAAACTTTTCCGTAATAATTTTATTTTATCTTTAAAAAGCGTAGTGTAGTAAAAACTGATTTTTTTTCCTATTTTCAGAATACCAAGTGTTTTTATATAGCATTGATAAATTTGTGTTCTTGAAATTTGTTTTTATGAAGATGGAGTATGTATGTTATAAAACAAACCAAAAGAAACGAAGAAAAACATTTCTGAAATTAAAAGAAAAAGTCTTGATTGTATTTTGTTGAATCAAAAGTTAATATTAAAAACATGCTCAGCTAAAATAAGTTTTTTCTCTCTCCATTACTTGTGTTGCAAATATGTAGGGAATTCAGATTTATGCTATACCTGCTGACTTGATCCAATTTATCAGAACAGTTTTGTTTGAATTTTTAGAATGGTAGTAAATGTCATAGCTTTACATTTTATTATTGATTTAATAAGATTTTAAATAAGACGAGAGTACTAATAGATGAGATAATAAGATGGGACTCATTTGTCACATTTCAAAATGAAATGAAAAATTTTAATGAAACTAGGAGGCTTCGCCCCCTGCTCGCTGGTGCTCGCCAACCCCCGGAACTGCTTTCGCAGTTCATTTCGGATTGCTTCGCAATCCGATGCTCGCTCATTGGATACGTTCTTAACGTCTAGCTTTTGTATACTTTTTTGAACACTGAAGTTCCGAAAACTTTTCACTGTAGAAAATTCTAAACCTGTGCATTTCAATATTAATTTGAAATTGCAAACAG